GAGATATATTGGCACAATTTCGCCCCACTCCTGCAGAAAATAGAACTAGATCTGAAAAGATGGGCCTACCCACACATTACGTGGCACGGCCGCATAGCGATACTTAAAATTAATATACTCCCGAGGGTGATACGTATGGAGGGGAGAAAGATTCAGACTGCGCTACGATTTACTATGCACACCCAGACACAGGGGTGGCCTGGCACTGCCAGACTTTAAGAAATATCACCAAGCTACAACGCTACAATGAATCTTGGATTTGCACGAATCGGAAACGACCAAACAATGGGTGGTTTTAGATCGGGACGGAGACGCATCGAGACTAAAGGCCACGGTATGGAGAAGACGAGCAACCCGGGGTAACAGGAGAAGGGATGAGGATCCAGTGGCACAAACACTACTAACCTGGGAAACCCTCAGGGAGACAACACAAGTTTCTCTGACCCCCTGCCCTTTACTCCCGATAACACACAACCCCAACATAGGGGGCGGACTACCTGCGGATGCCTGGACGTTTCTAGGCGAAGCAGACTACATCCCAATATGCAAAGTCATCCGGGAAGGCAACATGCGGACGCCAGACACGCTGTTAGAACACCAACCACGGTCCCCTATGGCAGCTTTCCGATACAAGCAACTAAAGCACTACTACAATTTGCTTCCACATAAAGAAAACCCACAAAGAGTTCTAACATGGCTCGAAGACATTTGCTCACGAGGAACCTCGCTTGAAAAATCTGTCTCGACCCTCTACCAACACCTACTGACAAGTCCCACCGCAGAGAAAACACCTTCCAGCGGCACTGGGAGAGAGCCATGGACAAAACATTCACACCGACACAATGGGACAAAGCCTTGATATGGCAACACAAAAGCTCCTCCAGTTCACACTATCAAGAGGTCAACTATAAGCTGGATCTTCCCCACAACACCACCAATATATATGTGTATGTATTAGACAGTGTGTGTCTATTAGACTGTTTGTGTATTAGGCAGTATATGTGTCTATTAGACTGTGTGTGTATTAGGCAGTGTGTGTGTCCATTGGATGGTTTGTGTGTGTATTACGCAGTGTGGGTCTATTAGACTGTTTGTGTGTGTACTAGACAGTATGTGTGTCTATTAGACTGTTTGTGTGTATATGTATTAGGCAGTGTGTGTGTCTACTGGAAAGTTTGTGTATGTTTGTAATCATCATATATATTTTAGTTTGTATCATGGATGTGGAATTTATATCGCCCGACCTATGGCATGGAGTTCCGGGCGTCAAATAGGAAAATGTTTTTATTCTTTAGGGGCTGCTTCAGGGGAAGTTGGTGCCAAGCAGGGAGCATTTCTCTGGCAGGCATACCGAAAGGCTGTAAATGGTCCTGGCTGCAACTCACAGGGAAGTGTGAGGAGCAGCAGCATCCAACTGCTCCTCACAATGCTAAGTACTTATGGCCGCTGGGATTCATCGTGACGTCATACCCGGCAGCCAACACGCTACAAAAGGGCTAAAAATGGAACAGGCTCCTGTTGGTAATCTGTGCTTTGTGTGAGTGTCAGATAATGTATAGTTTGTGTGTGAATGGGTAAGAGTGTGCCAGTGTGTAGTGTATTTCTGTATGGGTCAGTGTTAGTGTCAGTGTGCTGAGTGTGTATGGTTCAATGTTACTGAGTGTCAGTGTGTAGTGTGTGATTGTTAGTGTGTGATTGTTAGTGTGCAGTGTGTTTCTGTGTGGATAATTGTGTTTGTGTGGGTCCACTTTAGTTCCTTGGACAAGTAGATTTAAAAAAATAAAAAGATCCATACCCTTGTATGTATCTATAAAGTAGTTTGTGTGTGTGTGAGTGAGACAGTGTGTGTATATATTAGGCAGTGTGCAAGTATGAGGCGGTTTGTGTGTTGTTTGCAGTTTTTGTGTGTGTATGCATTTGGCAGAGTGTGAGAGTATATTAGGAAGTGTGTGTTTGTATGAGGCAGTTTGTGTTGTGTGTGTGGTTTATGTAATAATCATATATTTCAATGTGTGTATTAGGCAGTTTGTATGTATATATAAGGCAGTGTGTGTGAGTATGAGACAGTTTGTTTGTTAGTATGAGACAGTGTGTGTGTAAGTATGAGGCAGTTTGTTTGTGTATTTATTAGGCAGAGTTAGTGTATATTAGGGAGTGTGTGTGAGTCAGTTTTTTATGTGTATGGATGTATTCAGCAGTTTCTGTGTGTGTGCAGAGTTTGTGTGCATGTATGTTTAAGGCACTTTGTGTGTGTGTGTGTGTGTGTGTGTGTGTATGTATTTGGCAGTGTACGTGTGTGTGTGTATGTATGTATTAGGCAGTGTGTATGTTTATACACACTGCAACTGTTTATACACACTGTTTATATGTGTAAGGCAGATTGTTTGTGGATTTGTGAATGTATAAGGCAGCTTGCTAAGAGACAGCAATCTTCTACTCACTTAAAATATTTCAGCTTACTAAAGTGCCTTATATGTCTGGAGTTTGTAATTTTCTTGACAGTTTATAAAAGGGCTAATTTCAATCGAAATTGAACCTTTTGTAATTGGGGGCAAAAATACCCCCGCCTGTTACTCAGCTATGATTGAGTGTGCATGCGTACAGTGTGCAGCACTGCCCCAGGATGCACCTCTAGCAGCCTTCTGAGGAGGGCCAGTGGTGTTATCCCTAGGCTGTAATGTAAACACTGCATTTTCTCTGAAAAAACAGTGTTTACTGCAAAAAAAAAAAAAAAACTAAAGGAAATGGTTCTGCTCACCAGAAGAAATACAATAAGCTGTAGGTGTTCTGGTGACTATAGTGTCCCTTTAAGTGTGCCACAATCCACATGTTGAAAACTTTGTGATAACTTGTGTTAAAAATCTTTACAATTTTACTCGAGCTGCACATAAGCTGCTAAAGAGCAAATTGTAATATAACCAGTAAATCAAACTCTAGATGGCTAGCTCTACAGCAAACATATATATGGAAACAAATCACAATACAATTCAAGTTCAAATAAACACTCCTGTATGCATGTTAGTCTCTAGTGAATATTTTGTCAATATAATAATATTTGTGTTACATATTATATATTTAGCAAATATAAATAATAATTTTTTTAAATTCTTTGATAGGTTGTACTGAGACATGAACCAATTGCAGAGCTTCAAAGCAAGATTCTAAAACCTGGGATTTATGATGAACAGGAAATGTGGAAAATGCATATCCAAAACCTTTTATGTATCATCAAGCAGCTAAACTGTACAGAGGCCCAAGAGATTGTTTCTCACCTGGAGGAGGTGAAAAGCACATATGGACATTCAATCACAGCTGTCGCTCAAGATGTCAAACAGGTCAGACTAAAAGCCTTATCCTTGCTAGGTGGTGTTCTTAAAATCCTCATATTCAATGCTCCCGATCCAATATATCAGTATGGCCTGGCCCTAATTACCATATTACCAATGTGTAAATATATATATATAAATATATTTATATATATTGCGAGTATCACTGTATATATGCATTTTTTGGGGCCCCCAGGCCACATCTGTATTGAAGAGGGGTCCAGTAGACTCCCAAGTTCCACCTCTGACAATCCACGACTGTCAGAGAATTGCTGCGGGTTACCACAACAATGCAACAATGCTCTTACGAGAGAGTAATAGGACCTGCTGCCTACTGGTTTGTGCAGATGGAGTTTTCTTGGCCTCTCTTCACTATACATGCAGACAATATAGTGCCCCCTCCCTGGCCACAGGTAGAAGTCAGAGAGGAGGGAATAAAGTCAAATCTAAAATGATGTTAAAAAAAAATAAAAAAAATTATTTCTGCCCACAGAAGACAGCCTCTATTCTACCCACACACTAAATCCACTGCACACAAACAGCATCCACTATACGCACTTTCTGCATCCATCAAACAAACATTGCATTCACTAAACATGCTAACTGTGTCTGCTAGACACACTTTCTGCATACACCATACACAGGTATTGCATCAACTACACACAAACACACTGCATCCACTAAACACACACACTGCATCCACTAAACACACACACTGCATTCACTTAACACACACTCTGAATGCACTACACACACTGCATCCACTCTAAACATGCTACATTCACCACACACACACACACACACACACACACACACTCTGCATCCACTCTACACACATATTGCAACCACTCTACTTACACTGTACCCATTACAGACACATACACTACATCCACGAGAAACCAGGGTGAGGCAGTCAGAGTTTGCCCTCATGCTACTTGAGTTATAGCCCAGAGAAGGGGCTGCATGGTTGGCATTTTTACGGGAGTAGGAGGGAAACAAAGCAGCATATCGCCCCCCCGAACCACCACCAAGGAACATGATTCATCCTCCCTAGCCCAAGGTAAACTTCAGGGAGGGGGAATAAACTTAAATTTTTTCAGCACCTCCCCCCCCCCCTTCCCAATCTACAGCCCAAAACCCCACCTGAGGCTCTAATGCCCGATTTACAGCCACTAACTCACCAATTCAGCCCTTCTCCCCTACTTTTTTTCAATGTGCACGTCTACTAAACTATCAAAAATTGTCATAGCATTGTGCAGATGGGAAGGAACAGGAAAACACTCATCTTACATCTTTAAAACTCTGTGGTTTTTAATCATTTATAACCAAACTAATTCTGCTTCTAAACTGTATTTGAGTTTAACAATTAAATAACTGATTCAAAACAGGGGGTGTTTTTCATTGTACAAATTCCATTTACAGGCACTTTCAGACGCTGAAGAAAACTTGACATTTTTGAAGACTCTTCTTCAGTGGTATGATCGGATGAAATCAGCCAGATCTACAGAAAAACTAAAATACTTTCTCCAAATGTTACACAATTTATATTTAGTTTGGAAACATTCAAGGTAATACTTCTATAGTAACATTTTAAATTACCTTTTTTTTTAATTCTTTATTTAGTCGTGCGATAATAAAACAATTTTACCTATTCTGCCACAACAGCAGAGGTAGGTTATGAACAAGCATACAATTGCGAGGCATAGGTAAGTATCAACGATTATACAACACTTTTTATGGTATATCTACTGCATTTGATAGGACATGTCGGTGATGAGGTGAGTGCTTTTCGGGTGCAACAGGGCATGTCAGTGCTCATGGGATGGATCTAAGCTTATAGTTGCGGGTCTGAGGCTAGGTGTGGAGCTAAGAAGGTTTTTGTTGTAGGTCAGTTGTGTCGTTAGCTCAGGTCCCTGCTCCTAATAAACAATACCTTGTAAAATCTTCAACTAGGTGTGTCGCCGTTGAGGGGTGGCGTCTGTCTATGATTATGTGATAGGAGGGTCAAGAGTGTATTTACGTTCCCTTCGGCTACACTCCTGTGTCTGCGTGTTTCACTAGAACGTTTATGTATCGTTTTGCTATTTGTGCCCCTAACCAAGGGGGGCGGCGGGGGGGAGAGGAGGGGGTTGGTAGAACGTCTCGTAATGCTTTCTGAGGCGAGTCTAGGTGCCCTTAAGGGGGGTCCCCGTTTGTCATGGGAGTATAGATAGAAGGCCCTGTCGTACATGTTGGGGATGGTAGGTGTTCTGAGATATTCAACTTATATACATATAAACCAACATTTGCATTGCTATTATCTGGGTGGGCCGAATACTTATAGTCTTTTTGTAGTGTCCTTGGTGTTGTTTTCCTCTCGCCGTATTTGGATGGGCAGGCGGTGCGTCTGGTCGGTGCTTCAAGCCAAGGGAGTGCCATTATCTAGGCCCCTCAGGCCCTCTGATGTGTCTACAGGTGTCAGTCCCAGCGTTTCCAGAAAAGATGAGGCTTCCGCGAGTGAGGTAAGTGTGAGGGTAGTCCCATTGTGTGTAGTTAAGAGTGAGCCCGGCGCTCCCCACCTGTAGGTGATATTGGCGGTATGTAGTTGTTGGGTCACTGGATGAAGTGATCGGCGCCACTGTAAGGTGGCCCTCGTTAAGTCTTGGTAAAAGGTGAGACTCGAGTCTTCAAACATTAGCGGGGTCTTGCCCCGCAGCGCCATCATTATTTGTCCCTTGTCAGAGGAAGATGCGCAGCGAAGTATAACATCCCGAGCTGTTTGTGAGGCGGCTCTTGGGGGGCCCGCGACCCGGTATATTCCATCAATCACCATTTTTCTTGCCGCCGCTGGAGGTAAGATTGTTGCCAGTAGCCTTCTTGTGTAGTGCGGCAGCTTGTCCATGGTGATCCCTGCAGGGATACCTCGTACCTTGATGTTGTTGCGTCTATGGCTGTTCTCGAGGGCGTTCAGGTGCAAGGCCATATTGTGGTGGGATTTTTGGAACTGGTGTACCGAGTCTTGCACTTTTGTTAGGTTAGTGGTAACTGCGGCCATATCAGCGTCTGTGGCCTGTACCCGGTCCTTTGTGCTTTGTAACTCTGCTTTTATTCCTGCTAGTTCTTGCGACAGGATTTTATGAAAGTCATGTAGGAGGATTTGTAGGTCATGTTTAGTCGCTGGTAGCGATCCCTCCAGGGGTGCTGGTGGTGCTGTATAGAGGTTGTTTCTCTCTTGTAGTTCAGCTTGAGCTGTTTGGGTAGGACTAGGCTGATGTTCCTCTGGGGCCTGTTTGGGCCTAGCAGGCCGCTGAAGCATGGCCCCGATGTCTCTACCTTCTATCTGGGTTCCAGCTTTCTGGGAGCGTCGCCCCATTGCAGGCATGAAGTCTCCCGACTCGGAGGGGGATCCGATGCCAGGGATGCTTGTAGGGCCTTGATAGGCTCCACCATAGAGGGCCGCCAGGGTAGGCAGTGTGTGCGTGGAGTAGGCCCCGGGCTTGCGCTTCTGTTTTGGCGTCTTTGTTTTCGCAAAGAAGGGCATCTATTGATGCAGCGCGGGTTCCCAGGTCGGTGTATGTGTTTGGGGTGATGGGATCAGGCTTGATGTTCAAGATTTAGGCGAGATATTAATTTAGTTGTCGGAGCTGTCAGAAATGGCGTCTGATCAGCTCGGCAGTTGGCTCCGCCCCCCCTTAAATTACCTTTTCTATAGTTGCAGTTTGCTGTTTATTCAAATTATCCATACTAATGTGAACTGTCATTGAATTTTTTTTTTTATTTGAGATAACACTAAGAAACTTAGATAACACTAAGAAGTTTTTATTTTTTTTATTTTTTTTTTATTTAAAATGGATATATCTGATTTTACTTACCATGATAATGATGTGAAATGCTCAATGTGTAGGAAAATTGTTTTATCTCGTTATCACTAGGCAGTGATTTGTAATTTTGTGTATTCACAGGTACTATCATCAGAACAAGGTATTTTTAAACCTTCTGAGACTAATGTCTAATGAAGTGGTTGAAATAGCAAGTACTCTTCTAGGAAAAAATATTTTAGACAATCCTCAGGTAAGAGAGTACAACATTTATTTTCAAAATTAATATAGTGACTGTAAATAAATGTTTGTTATAGTGTGGTTAACAGATATGTATTAATAATTATATTCCAAACATATACATGAGGAATAGAAATATGTCATGCTTATCTTGAGTTCAGGGTTTTCATACAATATAGCGAGTCCTTTGCCACATTTAGGAATGTTAAGCCTTAATCATGAAAACAGTCTTAGTGATGATGCATTTGGTGTTTCTGCGCAAGCCACAAATTAACCTTCCAGCGCTCTCTCTGATTGACAAACCTCAGCAACATGCAACAGGATTACATACTCACTCAGAGTGGGCACAAAATCTAGAGATTGTCTTACAGTTTCTCTTATTCTTGTTATTTAAAAGAGCAAAAAATGGGTCGCAAGCAGGGCCGGACTGGGAGAAAAATTTGGCCCGGGCATTTTTTTAACACAGCGGCCCACTAAGAAGGGGGCGGGGCAGAGGAGGTGTGTTTTGTCATCACTAATGACAAACACGCCCCCTCTCAAAGTGAGCATGTTGGTTCAATGCTCTCCCAGGGCAGACCATGCGCAGAGCTCTGCTGAAGAGCTCTAGCATGAGAAAAAAGCTCTGTATTTGTTCTGCAAAGTGCAAGCAAATTTAAAAACATGCTTGCACTGTGTTTCCTTGCAACTTGTCTCTGGTGTCTCCATAAATGGATACCAGGAGACAAAAATGCCAGGAAGGAGTATTGTGCATGTGTTTGGAGCCTGCTTGTGGTATTGCGTGTGTGTAGAGTGAGCTGATTGTGGTGTGGTATTGTGTAATAAGGTTGGTTTTAGTCATGTTGTGTTTGTGGTGTAAAGTGGTGTAATGTGATGCATATGTGTCTATGGGCTGTAGAGAATGTGTGTATTGGGGATATAGCAAGTGTGTGCATACAGGCTATAGTGTGTGTGTGTGTATATATATAGGTGATGATGTGTGTGTTTAGGGGTGTAGTATGTGTTTGCTTACAAGGAATCTAGTGTGTGTATAGGTGATCCAGAGTGTGTATGTTAAGAGTGTAGTGTGTGTGTATATATTTTTTTATTTATTTTTGGAAGTATTGTGTATGTGTGTGGTGCAGTGTTTTGGGGGGTTCTGTGTGTATGTGAGGGGTGCAGTATGTGTGTGTGAGAGTGTGGTGTGTGCGACAGTGCCGTGTGTGCGAGAGTGCCGCGTGTGATGGGTGTGAGAGTGATGGGTGTGAGAATGATGGGTGAGAGAGTGCTGTGTGAGATGGGTGTGAGAGTGCTGTGTGTGTGAGAGTGCTGTGTGAGAGAGTGCTGTGTGAGAGAGTGCTGTGTGAGAGGGCTATGAGAGAGTGCTGTGTGAGTTAGTGCTGTGTGTGAGAGTGCTGTGTGTGATGGGTGTGAGTGCTGTGAGTGAGTGCTGTGTGTGATGTGTGTGAGAGTGATGTGTATGAGAGTGCTGTGTGTGATGGGTGTGAGAGTGCTGTGTGTGATGTGAGTGACAGTGCTGTGTGTGAGAGTGCTGTGTGTGATGGGTGTGAGAGTGCTGTGTGTGAGAGTGCTGTGTGTGATGGGTGTGAGAGTGCTGTGTGTGAGAGTGCTGTGTGTGATGGGTGTGAGAGTGCTGTGTGTGAGAGTGCTATGTGTGATGGGTGTGAGAGTGCTGTGTGTGATGTGAGTGAGAGTGCTGTGTGTGATGTGTGTGAGAGTGCTGTATAAATGTTAGAAAGGATTGTGTGTGTGTTGGGGGGGCAAAAAAAACCAGGCATTAAATCCCCCCCTCCCTTCATACCTTTAGCCTGGGAGGGGGGGACCGGCACGCTGGTACCTGGGACTGGGAGGCGGGGTTCCCTGGTGGTCCTCGTGGGTGAGTGAACTCTAGCCTGTGAGGCTAGAGTTCACTCTCGCGAGATCCGGTCGTTGCCATGGCAACGCGCCGGATCTCGCGAGAGGAACCCGGCGGAGCTGCAAGCTAGAGCTCCGCCGGGTCCTCTCTCCTGGCGGCTGTCTCCCTCCCTCTCTCCCCGCCGGCGGCCGCAATATCCTGCATGTGGGCCGGTGAGGGAGATCTTTGATCTCCCCACCGGCCCTTCATGGAACATAGCGGGGCCGGCGCTCGGATAGCGCCGGCCCTGCATGGACCGGCAGGGGAGATCCTGGGATCTCCCCTGCCGGCCTCGGCCCATGGACATCGCGGCCCACCGGGCATTTGCCCGGTGTGCCCGATGGCCAGTCCGGGCCTGGTCGCAAGAGTATTTTGAGAACGGACAGCAGCTAAAATAGCCTGCCCTTCGGTGGGTCCCCGCTCAGAACTCAAGCTGGTTTTAGCTCATCTTCTGCCATTACAGAAAGAACATATCTGAAGCATATCAAACTGGTCCCACCTATACGGGCAGTCCAGCTTGAGATCTGAGCGGGGACCCACCAAAGGGCAGGCTATTTAACCTGCTGCCTGTTCTCAGTATACTCTTGCAACCCATATTTTTGCTCTCCACAAGTTTAAAGGGATAATCCAGACGTGGATCACTTGCTCACGGTGCCTAGAGAGATATCAGCTATGCCTCACTTATGATGCCTAACAAGGCTGAAACGATCGTCTGGGGTTGCTGTGTGTCTCATGTAGAGAGAACTTGCTGGCATTTCTGATCTGGACTGCCCGTATGGGTGGGACCAGTCTGATATGTTTCCGAGATGTTCTCTATGTAATGACACAAGATGAGCAAAAACCAGTTTGAGGGGACCCACCGAAGGGCAGGCTATTTCAGCTGCTGCCCGTTCTCAGTATACTCTTGCAGCCCATTTTTTTTGCTCTCCACAAGTTTAAAGGGGATAATCCAGACATGGACCCCTTGCTCATGGTGCCTAGGGAGATATCAGCTATGTCTCACTGATGATGTCTAACAAGGCTGAAACGATCGTCTGGGGTTGCTGTATCTCTCGTGCAGAAAGAACTTGCTGGCCTTTTGGATCTGGACTGCCCGTATGGGTGGGACCAGTCTGATATGTTTTAGAGATGTTCTCTATGTAATGGCACAAGATGAGCAAAGAAAATGAAAATCCAGCGCACTCGCTTATCTACTAAACAGTAATTTTAATGCTGAACAATTTTCAGTTTTATTAAAAACACCTAATCTAGGCAAAAAAATTTAATTCATTTTCACTGTACTTATTGGCCCCCAGCAGCACCCTAATTTAGCATGTGTAGGTGAGTGCAGCCAAACCCTTATTTTCTCATACAAGATGAGCAAAGACCAGCTTGAGATCTGAGCAGGGTCCCACCGAAGGGCAGGCTATTTCAGCTACTGCCCGTTCTCAGTATACCCTTGCAACCCATTTTTTTGGTCTCCACAAGTTTAAAGGGATAATCCAGACGTGGAACCCTAGCTCACGGTGCCTAGGGAGATATCAGCTATGCCTCACTGATGATGCCTAACAAGGCTGAAATGATCGTCTGGGGTTGCTGTTTCTCTTGAGCAGAGAGAACTTGCTGGCATTTCTGATCTGGACTGCCTGTATGGGTGGGACCAGTCTGATATGTTTCAGAGATGTTCTCTATGTAATGGCACAAGATGAGCAAAAACCAGCTTTAGATCTGAGTGGGGACCCACTGAAGGGCAGGCTATTTCAGCGGCTGCCCGTTCTCAGTATACTCTTGCAACCCATTTTTTTGCTCTCCACTTGTTATTTAAAAGAGACCATGGGAATGGAGCCATGTATGACCCATATCATTGGGTAAAAGCACAAGGATTGCTCAAAATGTTATCACCATACTAATAATATGTGCTGGGATCAATGTGTTAAAAAAAAAAGTAGCAAAGTATAGAGGGAATGCTGAATTCGGGGGTATTTTGAATCAATCTTTGGTACTCAAACTGCTGTGGACTACATCTCCCATGATGTTTTGCTGACATTATTGCTGTAAGAACATACTAGGATATGTAGGACACAACACCTAGAGTGCCAAAGGTTGCCTACCCTCGGCCTATATATGTATTTTCCAAAGAGAGTATGTCTATTGAGGTCTACAGCCTATGTATCTAATTATTCCCTTGCTTTATTTCCCACCCAATTCTTAGCAAAGTAGGTGTTACAAGGTATCATGACTGATACCAAAGAATTTGATATGGTTAACTATTGCATGCCTGACTATTCTCTTAAAGGGCTACTTTGTATTGCTAACTAGTAACCTTGATTGTTCTCCTGACATTCTTTTGTACTTTAAACATGTTTCCCATTAAATTCCCAGTACCTCCCCAAAACACTAAGATATGAAATAATAATGAAAACTATTGCAAATGGGGGGGTTTGAAATTTAATGTTAGGGATATTTCCTGACAAATCAGAGTTACTAAAATGAACTGTACCAAGTGGCAATTGTTGAAACAAGTTAAGATACTTAAATTAAGTGCCGTTGCATTTTCATCTCCAATTCTTCTCATTTTTCTTCTACTACTTCACAGGATTGACATCATCGTATTATGAGTTAGTAAATAGCGGGGGGAAAATGTGTACATTTTTTTTTCATTTTATATAGCTGTAATTGGTTTTGTGTTTACAAATTTGCATATTAATATTAAAATTGTTAGTTATGGCATTGTTTGTTATTTAATAGATTAGTAATGCACAGGTTTATATTTGTGTATTAAACAGGCATACAGCGTATTAAAAGAAGCTTTGAAACTGTGTGCAACTTTCCGTGGCACTTACTTGGATGTAAAAATGAAAGCTGACGAGTTTAACATGAAGAAGAGAGAGGAAAATGACCGCCAAATGTATGGTGACCATAATATGTTTGCATGACTTGTTTTTTAATAAATACAGAGAATGGCAATAACTGCATTATTTCCTAGCTGGGACATAGACAAAATTATTAACTGATTAGGTAGCTCATTTAGTTAATACACCACCATTGGGTCCTGTGAATACCACACTATTGCATATTTAATTCCTATTAGAATCTTCTCAGATTCTCCTCCCTATGAAGTCAATAACACCATTACGTTGGTAATAGTAATATATTTACCTACACGGTGTTATAATATGTATTGCTTTCATCAGATATTATTGTAATATATTCCACAACCCTATTCTGGTATTGATTATAATATGAGAATTACAAAGGTGCATTTGCTGTTTTTTTTTTTTATTATAATTTTCTAAACAATTCCATATAAATTAATATTTAATGCATTTACATTTCTAATGCTTTGATAACAAATTTGAAAGTCATGCTACACATTTAATTCCCATTGTATTTTCTAGATCCAAAAAAGCACCAGGTGCTGCGTGGAACCTTAAAATGTACGAACCATCACAGTCAAAATTCAATAGGAAAGATTGGTTTTCTAATAACCAAGGCAAGGAGAAGGATGCCACACAAGACTTATGGGTAGATTCACCTTGGCCACCACACAATGCACATTGCTTCAAGAATATTAACATGTTTATGGAAAGGTGAGTATGATAACTTTCCTTATATCTATGCTTTGAGTATAGGGGTGTGACGGTGCACAGAGTTCACCTTAGAAGGTGTCTACAGATAGGAACTGAGCAATGTCCTCCCAAATATTTTGTAGGAGAAGAGTTGGAAGCATAGTCTGTGTGGAAATAAATGTAATTAGCTGTATTATTTGCTGCATTGCCAGCCCCACCGTCCATTGGTTTACCTACACCACCAATTTCTCCTCTAGTAGTTTTACAACGCTATATTAAAGCTTTTAGCTCTTTGTTGAAGGTGCCACCACCTAATTTACACCTTTAAGCCCCAAATTATATTTATTATTTACTTAAAATTGTTACATGGGTGGAAGAATTCTGTTGCCCAGGTCATTTGCCACTCATAGTAGGGAGCAAAAATATAGGCACATGACAGTTAAAAAAAAACAACCTAATATTAGTTGTAAAATCTTTTTATTGAAAAATATCATAATAATAACAATACATCCACTATATGTAGACGATGGAGTATGATTCAGCATGTAGACAGTATATATACAGTGCTAGTAATAAAATATATCCCAACATTTTAGCAAACAATATACATATGTTTGCAGTAGAAATGCTTCATAGAAAATATTTTATATGAACAGTAAGGCTCTCAAATTCAAAATGTTCATTAAATGTAGGTGGCAAAGAAAAAAAAAAGTTTTGGTGTGGAGAAAAAAACAAAAACATGAAATGAGAAGGGTAAAAACATAAAGATTGCTCAAAATGTTATAATCACAAAACTAATAATCTGTGTTGAGATCAATGTGTTAAAAAAAGTAGCAAAGTATTGAGGGAAGGCTGAATTCGGGGGTATTCTGAATCAATAGGGTTCCAGTAAGCACCTAGTGACTTGTAGATAGGAGGCTGCAGAAACCACTCTCAATTTAACTAGTATTGAACCATTAGAGAAATCAGGCCTTTAAAGATTCTAAAAAAATTGAACTCTCTCGTACCATCTATCCATTCTGAAAAGGATGAGGGCAGGGAGTATATGGGAGGGAATATGATCTATAATGTCTAGGTATCAGAGAAGAAACCACATTAAGGGAATGGTGTAACATTTATTTTAATGTGATGCAGTAATTTTGCAGAAAATAAGCCAGAGATGTCCTCTACACATATCTCTTTATCTCTTTAATAGTAAATAGGATGTCTGCCCAGAAATCATTAATACTTGGGAAATGTAGCCAAATATTGATATAAGTCCCCTGTCAGAATGGTACCTACAGCACTTGTCATATACTACACGGAATATAGAATAGAGTCTTACTGCTGTTTAATGCCATTAAGTGAGAATCTTACATGCTGATTCTTGGAGTTTAGACATTATAGAGCAATGGAGAAACTGATAAAAATGATAAAGTTCTGCTTCCCATTGTCTGATACAATACAGGCACGCAATGAGTATAAAGATATTTTTCACCACGCTAAAGAACATTTTCTGGAGATATGTCTGTCATTGGTTGAATACACAATCCTTACTACACCTAGAAATAGAGGTGGACTTGCAGTTCCAGATATATTAAAATATGATAAAGAAACAATGTTAAACTTGTTAGAGGGCTGATCCTTTAAGACATCTACAAACAGATGGATTTAGATAGAAATCAATTTGGTAGGACCCCAATGCTCCTTCCTGCTCATCCCTATATTACCCCAACTTTAAAAGTCTGGAAATTATTGAGATTGAACCCAACTATACCCTCATAGTCCTCCCCATGATACCTTTATCTGGCAAACAAGACTTCCCTTCTGGTTTTATTGGTGTCTCAGGCTTTTTATGATAAAGAAACAATGTTAAACTTGTTAGAGGGCTGATCCTTTAAGACATCTACAAACAGATGGATTTAGATAGAAATCAATTTGGTAGGACCCCAATGCTCCTTCCTGCTCATCCCTCATTACCCCAACTTTAAAAGTATGGAAATTATTGAGATTGAACCCAACTATACCCTCATAGTCCTCCCCATGATACCTTTATCTGGCAAACAAGACTTCCCTTCTGGTTTTATTGGTGTCTCAGGCTTTTGCTCTCAAGACATGCCCCCCAGAGCTATTACACATCATTCATAGTTTATAAAACTTTTATAAATTCTTTTTACTCACTCCAAAAACTAAGCAGCAAGAAAGTCCATTGGTAAAGTTTGAATGCACGCAGCTGACCCATTTTGTGCACTCCCCCAAAACAGCTATTTTTTGTCCCTTAACCTTTTTTTTTTGAGAGGATCTGCATAAACCCTTGTCTAACATATCACCTTTTGTATGACTGCATTTTGACAAGCGTAAATAAAAAGTAGGTTTTTAGGTAGTTTGGAAAATGAGTTCAATTTTTCCTTAGACAGCTATGACATTCTATTATTATATATACTATTATTACATTTTATTCTTCTAGCTCCATTCAAATGTTCTGCTTTGCCTCCATTTCCCTTTATTTATTCTTATGCGAGCAATTTATAGTGAATTTCCTTTTATTTCACCTGTCAGTTGTATTGATTGTTCTTTAGGCAGCCAAGACGTTGCTGAATAGTGGGCAATTAATTGCTTGCACTGCTTTAACCTGTAGCTGTAAAGAGCCACTGAGATATGTTCACAAAGCACAGAACAGAATGAAGAATGGTTGTGAACCAACCAAATTATTTAAGGGAACTCTTAGCCAGAAGCTTTTCCATTCATTTAAATACATCAGAAAGATTAATGTTTGCATTTGTAATGCTGCTAGAGTGGCACACATATCCATTAGTTCTGTGTTTGGATGAAAAAGAGCTATCTAAAATTGTAAACATGTGCTTAGTGCTTTTTTACCGTGTTCAAATATATATATATATATATATATATATATATATATATATATAATACAATGGATAGCTTGGCACTCTCCTTATTGGTATTAAAAATATATACCTGCCCGGGTGCAATCCACAGTGCGTCCAATATGTAAACAAAAAGATATCCAGGATGCACTCTCAGGACTTGAGCAAAAAAATTTAATTTATTAAATCATGTGCAAAACAAAGACAACAAATATATATATATATGCAAAAAAACAGACAAAATTCGTATCTTGTAAAACCTTTTTTATTGGACTAAAGTCCAATAAAAAAGGTATTACAAGATATGAATTTTATCTGTTTTTTTACATCTACATCACTGGACTAATACGGCTACAATCTCTGCTTTTATTTACATAATATATATGTATATGTATATGTATATATGTATATAAATATCCTTGCATTTTTTTACAGTTTAGTCTTCAGTTATTTTTTTATAGCAGAAGGGGACACTTCCTGGATGGATTGGGTCAACTTTTTATACATTATATTTTTTATGCATTCTAAAAAATTGCTTTTCTGCAGCATATATTATTTATCTTATCCTGCAGTTAATACTTCTACACTATTATTCACTATAAGCAAGTCCTAGCTGGTATATCACAACCAATCCCTTGCCTCCTATTACCTTCTACTGGGGAACATTCTGCGCAGAATTGTGCAATATGTCACATATTATTTGTGTAATGCTTCACATTACACAATGTTAGGAATAAACAAAAGTCATCCAAGCATGTGAGCATGTTGTTCTACTGATTTACTAACATGCTAACAAACCTTGGATTATTTATTTATAGTTTTAACTAAAATGCAGATGCTAGTTAAAAATGTACTTGAAGTTTCCATTTAAGAGTTAATGCATGTTCTAGTCAGTGATATCAGCTGCCCTTTCTTAAAGCCTTTAGACCTCATATCAGGAACAGGTCACAGTACAAGAGACAGACTATAACCCATAACCCTATTACAGTATAGAACTAAATATGATATATACTGTATATAGGGAATGGCTAATAGAGTTAACTACTGAGCCTTAGAACAGTAGCCTTAGACCAGGGCTGTGTTTAATAATGGTTGGACCCTGGGCAAGCTTTTGCTTGGGCCACCTGGACCCTGCCTCCCCACTCCCTGGCATGCAATCTGTGTGTTACTAACATACATACTGACACACAGACACATATACTGACACACACGCACACATACACTGAGAGACATACTGATACACACTCGGACACACATACTGACAGACCTACTAAAAAACACAGACATATACACTGATAGACATACTGACACACACACACATACACTGACAAGTTGCTGAGGGTCCGCAGGGGCAAGACTTTTTTTGGGACCACCTTCAAGCACAAGGTTGGCCAAAATATAGATCCCTATTTGTCGTACACGTCCACAATGCTTGCTTGCTTGGGATCTACAATTTGCCCATCCTTGCAGGGTTGTATTTAAAACTCAACAATGTGTGTGTTTGAATGTAAGAATGTTTTTGTAAGGAGTATGTGTGTGTGAATGGCTTTTGAATGCAGACATGCATTTGTGTGTAGTGTATACACTGCCACACACAGATACACATACATATACACAGACACACACAGCAACAGACATGCAAATACACAGACACAAAGCTACACACACTGACACATACACAGAGATACACCCACTGGTACTTACACACACTGACACACAGATACATACACAGACATCTGTTGGGTAAGTGTGATAGTAGGTGTGAGGGTAGAAGAGCATGGCACACGTAGGGAGTGAGAGTAACAGGGTTGGGGCTTTGAATGTGAGTGTTGGGGGTTTCTAAGTGATTGTGGGAGGGTGGCGAGTGTAACAGGGTTAGGGAGACTGGGTTAGGGGTGGTTAGTGAGACAGGGTTGGGGGCTAGTGAGACAAGGCTGGGGGGCTAGTGAGACAGGGCTGGGGGGGCTAGTGAGACAGGGCTGGGGAGGCTAGAGAGACAGGGCTGGTTGGTTAGAGAAACAGGACTGGGGGGTTAGAGAGACAGGACTGGGGGGTTAGAGAGACAGGGTTGGGGGGTTAGAGGGCTAGAGAGACAGGGTTAGGGGGTTAGAAGGTTAATGGGACTTTGCCAAACCTGCTGACCTGCTGTACAAGCAGGGGTGGCAATCATAAATTTCATGGTGGTCCAGTGGGTACCTGGTGGTCCAGTGTGCTGCCGGTTCGCTCCCTGGTGGTCCATTGTGTTGCTAGTGAACTCCCTGGTGGTCCAGTATGCTGCTGGGGCTGCCGCATTCAATCGTGGTTCCGGCACTCTGTGATGATGTCAGAGCACAGGATGGGAACCCAACGCCTGTGCTCTGACACTCACAGTGCACCGGAACTGCATGGGAGTGCGGCAGCCCCAGCAGCACACTGGACCACCAGGGAATCCATTTGTAACAGTTGGCAGGGAAATCTTTTTATCTCCCTGCTGGCTCAAGGAAGGGGGCTCGACCCCCTCCACCACTGCCCTCTCAGTGTGCAGACCTGCTGCCCGCAACAATTTATTTTGAGATCGGTGATCCCAAAATAAATTGTTGTGGATAGAGGGCAAATGGGGCAGCTGCTTTGGGTCCCCCCAGGAGTAACTGGGCGTGGGGCAGCTGCCCTGCTTGCCCTGCATTAAAGACTGCTTTGCTTGGAACAGTAATGCACAAAGATGTCCGAGTGGTTAAAAATACAAACTGACAATCATAGGATTAATGAAGTATAGGAAATCTCAGTTAGGGCTGACATCAGAACTCTAAGGGTGCCTTACAAAACTACTTGCTGCACCACACCTCACACACATGCTTCCAAAACCACAGAGACATATTTATAGGTACACACAAATCTGTGTTCCCAGACAGTCACAGATGCACAAACACATACATGTTACACACATTCACACACTGCCAGACAGTTACACACAAATAGACACTGTCACATACACACAGATACCAACTGCCAGACACACACATATACATACTTCCAGATATACACAGTTGCACGTTGCCAGTCAGACATACTCAACCACAAATACTGAAATACATTTTGTCTTTAGATATCTTTCTGTCTGCCTACATTTTTGTATATGAGGGTGGCTACCCCTGGTTTCCATGCTCTATCAGTGCAGGCTGCCCCTTTATTCCGGCACTGCTTCCTTGGTGTGTTGGGAGGAAGTAATAAGACATCATGTCCTCCCAGCACTGCCACACTAGAATGGAGAGTGGACTGGTCTGGGAAGACATTAATATCAATGTTTATTAATATATTTTTAACTAGAAACTAACTATTGTAAATAACCCTACAAATGTATTTTGAGAGAGATAACAATGTAGTAGTGAGCTATGTATTATAGGAAAATAATGCCATTTTGAGATTTTGGAGACCTTTATAAACAACTCAGCCTTCAATCCCATGGTTTATTATGATGTCTCCAGAACCCCTTAATAATATTATTTTCCCTTAATAAATGGCTGACACTGAAGGGTTATTTACAACATTGAACTCCCAGTTAAATTACAACAGTTAGATCTAAATAGTTGGTCTAAATGTTGTAAAAATGTTAGCATACAGTTTGAGGACTACTTAACAAAATTAATTTTTATGGACTAAACCCCTAATAAATATTCATAATAAGACATGCTGGGTATATTTATTAAGGTAAAACAGATCCTATATTAGGTGCAATGTCCTTAATACTGAGATACCTTCTACTGGTGATTGCTCCTTAGTCAACACTTTGCCCCAAAATTGCACCTGTTTTTGCTTTGCTAAATCTCCCCAATATGATTAAAGTAACAAGCCACGCACAATAACCGCTACAGTGTGTTGTAGTTGTTCTGGTGGCAGGAGTGCCCTAGCACCATTTTAGAATGATTTATTTTTTTATCTGGGGTCTCACAGAGACAGAAACCCACTGCCTGAGATAACTTGAGGGGTGCAAGACTTACCATATTTTCTAAGAGTGATGCTCTCAGCTAGTGATCTAGCCCTACACTGCAGTGCTTAGTTCAAGATAGCTGATGGAAGCATCTAGTAGGAGTTTCCAGCTCTCCAGAGTGTAAGAGAAAAGATACGGAGTGGCAAGAAGATAAAAAGTCAAACCATATTAAATGCCAGAGCATTCCTGGTGCCATAACCACTACTTTGTACTGTAGTGGTTGTGATGCTTGGAGTGTTCATTTTAATTTTCCTGCAACAAGTTTTCCAGTTGCATTCGTACTATATGATCACTATTATAATCACCTCAACAATTTCATATACTAAAAAATACTTTGTATTTCTCTTGGCTGCTTCACATCAATTTAAACAGTGTAGGCTACATGCTAATAGTCTGACACTGAAGCCAAATTCTACAAGATGGCAAAGTGCAATTAAGTAAATACCTAGTAAGGACACTAGGACCTCAAATAATCAAGAGAAAGGCAGAATGGGTGAACAATGCAGTCCATAGCTTCCATGCACTGCATTGCAGGTGAGCCAGTGAACAAGTGTCTGCAAGAAGAAAAAGAGTATAATACACATGCTAAAAAGGGGGAATACTTCCTACAGGGTGCTCCAGAAAGGGAGGGCCAATCCCTGGAGACATCAAATGGAAGAAAGGATAAATATTCAGGCACACCTGCAGTTTCCTCTAAAAGGCAATCTTTTTTTTTTACGAACAAAAAAGTGGAGACAACATTTTGGCTCCTCTCTGTCCTCTCAAGTCTTGATAAAGGCTCAGAGAGGAGTCAAAACGAAAAAGTGGAGTCTTGATAAAGGCTTTGAGAGGAATCGAAAAGTTGTTTCCACTTTTATGTTCGTAATAAAAGACTGCCTTTTAGAAGAAACCTCAGTGAGCAAGTGTCTGTTAGAGCCAGTGGTATAAATAGCTAGATACAGTTTGGCGAAGGAAAAGCTCCAAAAAATGAACACTGAACCAAAGCTCGGTCAGACACTGGTTCAAACAGATCCAGCAAATGAGCAACATGGTGAGGTATGTCTTTTTGCTGATGATACTAAGATATGTAACAGGGTTGATGTTCCAGGATGAATAAGCCAAATGATTTAGGTAAACTAGAAAAATGGTCAGAGTTGTGGCAACTGACATTTAATGTGGATAAGTGCTAGCTAATGCATCTTGAACGTAAAAACCCAAGGGCAGAGTACAGAATATTTGATAGTCATAACCTCAACATCTGAGGAAAGGGATTTAGGATTGATTATTTCTGATGACTTAAAGGTAGGCAGACAATGTAATAGAGCAGCAGGAAATGCTAGCAGAATGCTTGGTTGTATAGGGAGAGGTATTAGCAGTAGAAAGAGGGAAGTGCTCATGCCATTGTACAGAACACTGGTGAGACCCCACTTGGAGTATTGTACTCAGTACTGGAGACCGTATCGTCAGAAGGATATTGATACTTTAGAGACAGTTCAGAGAAGGTCTACTAAACTGGTTCATGGATTGCAGGATAAAACTTACCAGGAAAGATTAAAGGATCTTAACATGTATAGCTTGGAGGAAAGGCGAGACAGGGGGGATATGATAGAAACATTTAAATATATAAAGGGAATCAACACAGTAAAGGAGGAGACTATATTTAAAAGAAGAAAAACTACCACAACAAGAGGACATAGTCTTAAATTAGAGGGACAAAGGTTTAAAAATAATATCAGGAAGTATTACTTTACTGAGAGGGTAGTGGATGCATGGAATAGCCTTCCAGCTAAAGTGGTAGTGGTTAACACAGTTAAGGAGTTTAAGCATGCGTGGAATAGGCATAAGGCTAACCTAGCTATAAGATAAGGCCAGGGAAAAATGAAAGTACTTAGAAAATTGGGCAGAACTAGATGGGCTGAATGGTTCTTATCTGCTGTCACATTCTATGTTTCTATGTAACACAAAATGTAGGTGCCAGAAATAGTTATATACAAATTAATACCCCTGAAGAAACAGACTAATAAGGAATCTGCATACACCATGTGCAATATGGAAAATTAATCTGGTAACATTCCAAGCAAGAAAATGAATGTAAAAACCATGCTAGCTCACCAATATCACCATGCATTTGATAAAGTAAATATTATGGTAAAGGAAAAATGTGTAATGTTTATCATAAATTTTCTCATTATTTTGTTTTTGTATAGGTGCAATGATGTCCTTGACTTAGTGGAGACAATGAAACATTTTGAGACGCTTAAGACTGTGGCATCTATAGGTGGTGCAGGTTCTTCAAGTTTGGATGCCATGGTGCAAGAAATCTGGGACTCATATGGCATTGCCAAACAAAACTTTGTTAACCAAATAACGGATATTTTTATTACTGATAGAAGCAGTCGTTTTGAAAAGGCATTTTTTGACTTTAGAACTAAAATAAAGGTAGGTTATATAATGCTATCCGTCTGTCCTTTATGACCATGATAGCAACTGAGAAGCTCCGATTTGTTTCCATTCTTGAAAATGCTGGCATGGAAGAAAACAAACTTGAGAAAAAAATATCTCAGTTATATTTCTTGGCCTAGAATTTACAGTTCCCAGTTTAGCGAATTAGACTTTAGAATATGTGGTTTGCTTTCTGCAATACACAGACTGCTGTATTTCCCATTTGTACTGTGACCGTTTCCTTTCACAACACATTTTGAGACAATAAATTACACTTTATGGTTGTTGTAGAGCATAACATTCTCTGGGAAGGCTCATGAAATAGAAATAATTTACTTCACTTCACCTAGAATATTGAATATAGACAGTGTGTCTTTTACAAATTTTGCCTTCAAAGAATTTCAGTTCATAAAGATAGATAATTCAATATGAAACACAATGGCCTTGATTTAAAGGGACACTATAGTCACCAGAACAATTACAGCTTATTGAATTTGTTCTGGTGAGTAGAATCATTAACTTCAGGCTTTTTTCTGTAAACACTGTCTGTGATGAAGTGCCCTTCGCCACTTGTGCCTGGAGGGGACTACTGGCTAGCCTCCTGCCTTCCGACTATGGCCCCTGTGCTGATAGCTGTATTTTACCCCGCAGAAAGGTTTATTTGTGTATATCTGCCGGGGCGTTCGGAACTTTCAGTATGTGAGTAGTGCTACCCCAGATAGCTATGCCATGGAGCCTATTCGTGTAACGAAAGACTATGGAAAAGACTTTGGCTCCATGGCGATTGAACTGTATGTATGTGATCTGAGTGCTATTCGGTAATAATGTGCGCTCAGATCTAAGCTATCTGGGGATATGTTGCATGTAAATGTTTTATGTAGTAATTGTAACATTGTGTATTTTTTTGTCTTTTTGTAACTATGTGGTTAATGGAGTCTTGCCTCTGTCCTGGGAGATAATTTGATTACTTCCCAATTATCTCCAGGATAGAGAGGAGGGATTGTGATGTCACTGTGGGAGTGTTTTGTTTGTATTGTCTGTGATTGGCTAATATCCAGTATGTGTCCCATTGTTCCATCAGGTCCCCTAGGGGAGTGTCCACCTGGTGGACACCTGGTGGACACTTGCATAAATACCGCGCAGGTAGCCCTCAATAAACCAGACCTACTTGCACCTTTCTTGAAGCCTTGGCTCATGCTTGGGGGAAGGGATACCTACACTCTTTGGATTTCTATAATCACTTACTCCCCAGAGTAAGCTCTTTTAAGAGCTTGTTTTGTTCCTGCTATGCTCTCTGGATTTAGGAGAGGTTCACCCACTGGGAGCTGGATCCTGGTTGTGGATCCAGGGTGGGTGAGAGATGGCGAGACCCCGGCGCAGCTGCATCACTGGAAGTGGGGTCCGCAGTGCTGATGGTGTCGGTTGGAGTGCTCGGAGTCCTCGGCAAGCCCTAGGAGCATCGATTGGCGGAGCTACTCGGTCAGAGTGCCAGCGGTCCGTCACACTGTCTTTTCAGAGAAAATGCAATGTTTACATTACAGCCTAGGGATAACTCCACTGGCCACTCCTCAGATGGCTGCTAAAGCTGCTTCCTTAAAGGACCACTATAGTGCCAGGAAAACATACTCGTTTTTGATTTTCACAGTTAGAAGACGCTTGCGTCCATAGGAAAGCATTGATAATGCTTTCCTATGGACTGGCTGAATGCGCCCTCAGGGTCCCACTCCTGTGGCGCTGAAGGGGGAGGAAGGGGTTAATCCCTTACCTTTTCTCCAGCGAGGGGCTCCCTCGGCGCTGGGACTCTCCTCCCTCTTCTTATTTCATCAGCTGAATGCGCATGCGCGGCAAGAGCCCCGCGCGCATTCAGCCAGTTCATAGGAAAGCATTCTCAATGCTTTCCTATGGATGCAAGCGTCTTCTCACTGTGAAAATCACAGTGAAAAAGCGGAAGCACCTCTAGCGACTGTCAATGAGACAGCCACTAGAGGCTGGATTAACCCATAGGTAAACATAGCAGTTTCTCTCAAACTGCTATGTTTACTGCAACAAAGGTTAAACCTAGCTGGACCAGGCACCCAGACCACTTCATTGAGCTGAAGTGGTCTGGGTGCCTATAGTGGTCCTTTAAGCAGTCCTGCCTAATGTGCAGCACTGCCATTCTGTGTAGCCACCCTCTGCATGCAGACACTGAATTTTCCTCATAGCGATGCATTGATTCAATTAATCTCTATGAGGAGATGCTGATTGGCCAGTATCCGGGGTTGATAACTTTACGCAAAATGGGAGTATCTATATCGATAGAATCTTAAGTGCAACCACAGGACATCCAATTTTGAAAGACTTTCTTAATATCTTTCCTCTCCCTATTAGGGATATATACTTTAAGAATGACTGAACTCTTTACATGCTTTCTGGCATTGGAGGAGTTAATTTGTTTGCTTTCATGACCCTCTATCATTGGAGGAGTTAATTTGTTGGTTCTAAGACCCTCCTCCTCTTTCTCTGCTTAATTGAATACGCATGCTGTTACTGACATCACAAAAATGGTGACTCCATTTTCCCTTTAAAAGGAGGCAAGATTTCAGTCTGATCTTAGCTCTTGACATAGGCGCATATCAGCACCGAAACGCACATTGAGCAGACGGTCCACTGGTGATTTTTAATACTTGGACAGTGTTGTGGTCGTGACCTAAATATGAATATTAATCTCTTAATACATAATAATTAAGCAATACGGAACAACATTAATATTTTTATAATTCATGGTATTATGGTCGAATATGTGGATAGAAAATACACAAAACGTTGTAATATTAAATGTATATTTAATATAACTATAATAAATAAACAGATGCTAGCGGAATGTCAATTTCAATAATTATACAATACAATACTACACAAAACACTATTGGTTGCTAAATATTATACAAAAGGCTATTACAATTGCTAACTGTTACAATACAAACATATTACTTACAAGGCCCCAGCCAAAGGGCTGGGGCTAAGTCAGAGCTGGTGCTACATGATCAGTCAGGTACAGGCAAACAGAGAGCTAGCTTCTCCTCACATCTGGGTTTTTATTCAGTGTAAGTAGGCTGGCCTGTGATGTCACTGCCAGAAGCACATGTCTTCCTACACACTCCCCCTAGTGGTGCCCCCAAAGCATTACACTAAATATGCTTTCTTTATGATGTAAAGTCATTAATTAATAAATATCATTACAAACCACCCTTTGACTTATGTCATAAAACAAGCATTTATAAAACCAGTACATTTTGAATCTTCCCCATTTTAACACTACCTGCCCTACAACAAAACCCACCATTTGAAGAACGATACCCATTTACCCATTATTACCCATTAACATTTTATTGCTTATATAAATGTTCACCATTGAGCACATGCATTACCAGTTGGGAAATAGGCACATACCCACCCTTATAATAATGAACAACTCAAACCATGTTTTATTAGATTAACCAATGATATTGTGTTCATGTGAGGATGTGTTTTGGAGCTTAATATAGTATTACACACCACAAACTCATAACACCTATGAATCATGGCACAGACCGACTCGATTTCTGTAGCCTCTGGCTGGTCTGTGTGCCTGGAATTTTCAGAAACATTAGTCCTGGAAACTGGATACTCTATTCTTCGACAGTCTCATAGAACATACGCATGGAGACAGGGATGAATGAAACAGTTCATGTGATCAAGGACTTTTGTGTGTTTGTGGTCACATTGTTTTGTTTTTTCTTTCTTTATACCATTAACCACCTTGACGTAACAGTTTCCTGCTCCTGATGCATTTTGTTCTGACTCTCACCACTCTTAGCTGCAATATTTTTTCTCCTTACAGCAACAGTTGAGCATAGTGTCCAGTGCTTCTTCTTCTTCTGCTTAAAATATCCTTGCTTGAAAGGTCTTGAATGAAAACACAGGCAATGACGAACACAAACATAAATAATAACTGTGCCAATCATCACAAGTACCATGTGATTGTGGTGTCTTAACCATATTTTTTTCCTATGGCGTTTGGATAAATACCTACACACCTCTCTTCACATCCAGCACACTCCTGATTCACAGATAAACACAATATCACTGCTGTATCTACCAATTTAACCCAAACACTCGTTATTACTGCTGCATTTACCAATTTAATCTAAACACTCGTTATCACTGCTGCATTTAACCAATTTAATCTAAACATTAACCAAAACAATTACATTCCTATTTACCACCCTTCTATTTAAACATGTATAGATAACCCAAAATGCCTACTTTCTCTTATCCCTCTTATCATTCTTCTGTTTTTTTTTTTTTTGAACTGCAACCACTCATGCACTTTACACAGACACAAATCAAGCACCTACTGGACAATGGGGTTCCCTCGTTAGAGCCCTCCCACCCCAGTTTGGTTTACACAAAAATACCCCCTGGTCCCTATGGGTCAATTCCCCCCTTTCCCAGGCAAGCATACATACATACATACATACAATAATAATACATAAGGGTTTCAATTGCAATACAATCACTAGAAATAAGAGAATAGTATGCACAAAATCATAGCATAGACATGTTAAATAGACAATAAAATAAAACATTCAATAGCTCATCAAAGGTCAACATTTAAACACTGGTCTCCATTTGATATTCTATCTGTGTTCCAATGTCCACCCCTGGTTTCTGCTATATCTGAAAAAGGTAAGAAAACAGATCAGGATTACTTTTCCTTGTCACTTATAGCGTATACTGCCAAATCCTTTACTTAGCATATATACATATATACACATATAAATACATTCCCTAAACTTTTCATTTTATAAACAATTTGTTCAACAAGGTAACTTTCTTAATTTTCTACTTGGCTCTTAAAATAAACAATCAGCTAATAGCTGCTTTCTGCATCTTCTCTGCAATTCAGGAAACACATTTCTAGCCAACCTAAACATGTTTAATAACTCTCCACCCTTTGGTTAAATTATAGAGGAGTGAACCACAACACCTCTTCCGCCTCTGAAAGGATATAGGTCAATATGTCTCAAAGTTCAACACTTCTGACAGCTATGAGTGACTCCCTATTAATTTCTAGCCTTTCCACGGACATGCTTGCACCTCGCGGCTAAGGGCCTGCACAACTAACCACCCTGTGATGGCAGTGGCTTTCCGCATGGGGGTGACCGCCCCCGCAAAATTATAGAGGAGCAAACATACAGCAGCCTCTTTTCCGGCTCGATTAAAGGTTCTGGGCCAATATGTCTGCAATTTAACCAGTACACTCACGTATCACTTATTGTATATTTCCTGGTCTCTCAGGAATTTCTATTAAATAGCGTATCCCCTTCCCAGGGCAATATACAACAAAAACTAGTCACCAAGGGTCTCTATGGTCATGATAGGCCACCCTACCACTAGTGTAATACGCCCTTTTTTTAAAATATATTTCCTGGTCTCTCAGAGATTTTGCCTATCCCTTTCCCAGAGCAATATATATAAACAATTACAAATAAGTTACAAAACGCTACTTATAAGTAATACAGGGTTTCAAATAATAATACAGGATAGAACTGCACAACAACTATTGGGTATGCTCCCCCTTATCCGGACACGTTTAAATACCCCCTAGCTCAGGTTCCCCACCCGCTACTGTAACTAAAATCACAGCCCACGTTATGGAGGTTCACCCGCTAGGCAGATACACCCTAATTCAAAGCATGGAAATATTAAAATCAGTTATAGATGGCTTCTAAAATAATATAAATCTTAATCTGAGCCCCTACACTTACTTTGTTAAAAATGCTAACTTGTTAAAATATTCAGACTAAATAGGACAAAGGAATTATTTTACCATTTTTTCAGTTCATTTGTTACCAGTTCCTGCATATGTCCAGTAATTCCTTAGTCCTGGATAATAAAGCTGAAAAACACTCCACAAATTGATTAGCTTAGGCAATTACATTTACAAAACAATGCAGTTTATTTTTTCTCATACAGGCAAGACTACCCACCCCCAACAAGGACAAATTCTCCCCCAGCTGTAGCTGAAAAGCATGGTCACACAGCTGTTAAAAAGGTGGTCTCTCCTTCATGAGTCAAAATCATATATATTTATACTAATATTCTGTGTATACGCACACATAAATCTATTATTCACTGAATCTGCTTTACTAAACGTATCTTTTTCTTAACTACTAATTTAATACATTTTGTCCAAATCTCTTTTCAACTAGACAAATCCATGAATACCAAACAAATGTAAATTAGTACACAAACAGGGTCAAATTTAGCAATAAAACCTGGTGAACTAGTTTAGTGAAAAGTTTTTTCCTATGCAAATGAAAGCAAACAATGAAACTAGGCCTCAACTCATTCACACCATGTGGTCAATGGTGGATTAAAATCCACATGGTCAGACAAAAAGTAAAATAGTTTTTTGTTTTATATATAAAAATGACCAAAGGTTGGTAAAACGTAACAAGCAACACAATAATTCATCACTATGTTCTACAACAAGAGATACCTTAAAAAACAAATATCTAATCCCTATCTGCTATCTGCATTCATTCCATTAAAACCAAATCATCATTCATTTATTCATTTGTATACAGACAGACAATTTACAGTACGATTTAAGCTAAATGCATAACATTTATATTTTCCCCAATATTCAAGCATAATCCTGCCGACTACGCCAAATGTTGTGGTCGTGACCTAAATATGAATATTAATCTCTTAATACATAATAATTAAGCAATACGGAACAACATGAATATTTTTATAATTCATGGTATTATGGTCGAATATGTGGATAGAAAATACACAAAACGTTGTAATATTAAATGTATATTTAATATAACTATAATAAATAAACAGATGCTAGCGGAATGTCAATTTCAATAATTATACAATACAATACTACACAAAACACTATTGGTTGCTAAATATTATACAAAAGGCTATTACAATTGCTAACTGTTACAATACAAACATATTACTTACAAGGCCCCAGCCAAAGGGCTGGGGCTAAGTCAGAGCTGGTGCTACATGATCAGTCAGGTACAGGCAAACAGAGAGCTAGCTTCTCCTCACATCTGGGTTTTTATTCAGTGTAAGTAGGCTGGCCTGTGATGTCACTGCCAGAAGCACATGTCTTCCTACACACTCCCCCTAGTGGTGCCCCCAAAGCATTACACTAAATATGCTTTCTTTATGATGTAAAGTCATTAATTAATAAATATCATTACAGACAGCTTTTGCATGCCTTAGAAACTTGCTATTACTATAAATCTTAACGATCTCCCAGGGCAAATAGGCAGTTTCTATTTTAGGCAGTAGTAGATGAGTTAGTATCGGCTATTTTAACTTATTTCACACTATGTTGGGTTATGCCCTAATTACCCCACAACCATTACGGACTCGATGTTAGATTCTCCTTCATCGTGTTTGTATATTTAAAGCATTGTGACTGGTTCAGACCACCGCTTCTGATGATGTCAGCAGGCAGGTGCAGGTCTGAGGCAAACTGGGGCAGAGCCAGGAGCTGCAGAATTGAATACAAGTAAGATTTTACTATATTTAGGGAGCCAAGAGGGTCCAGGGGGGCTAGATGGTGGTTTTAACAATATAGGGTCAGGAATACATGTTTGAGTGTCTGACCCTATAGTGCTCCTTTAATATTTTTGAATAAAGTTTAAATTATTTTTTCAAAATATTAGACAATCAAAAATAGATCATTAAAAAAATCACAAAAAAACATTAAAATATAAAAGATGTAAGCAACAGTTCTCACTCTTTCTTTATAGAGAAAGCAGAATAATATGTTTTTTAATTAATATCTTGAATATAGAAATGCTTGGTTTTCTTCTGCTAGTAAAACTGTATTGTTAAATCATGTATTCAAAGTAGAGTCAGGTTATCCCATTTTCCATAACTAAAACGTTACTATAAAATAGTACAGATAAAAAAAAACCTATACAACTGTCAGCATAGGAAACAACACTTTGGAGAACATTCACTACGTGGACTAACAGTTTTCATCATTCATTAGCTTAATGTGTAGCATACAATACCCTATTTAAGTTTTAGCCTGTTATGGAACATTTTCCACTGTACTTATATTATCTGGGAACAGAAGGTAGAGAACTCTTTACTTACCCAGAGCTAGCACTTATTATTATTATTATTATTAGCTAGATTCATTTTAATTGTCACTTTTGAATTTGAAAGTTTTTATGAAAAGCTCGTGACTACATTTATGCCAAATATGTATTCAAAAGTATTTTATTTAATTAGGAAAATTTTGGTATCTTGTAGAGTTTGTAAAAATCCTATTTTGACTTACTACAGCTTGCTTAAATTAATTTGTACAAACAAATGTTGTTTCCATATTTTTAATTTCTTTTCAAATTTAATTTTCCCATTTTGCAGAGTCTAGAACACAAGCTTGGGGAAATTCTGAGAAGCAGTTTCATTCAATGTCCCACCATAGCATCTCAGCTGAGACTTTTAGAGGTATTTGAAGGAATCAGCAGACGAGATGTCGTGAAGGTAATATTTGCTTTAAAAAGAAGGACACTCCACAGCCCAAAAACAAAACAGTAAAAAAAGAAACCAGAATTGAGTAGATATACCCCAAATAAAAACATGCATGCATTTAATTATACATTTTTTAATTAGGGTATATCTAGAACAGCTTGCAAGAGCTGTAGATTTATTGTTTGCAGCCTTTGAACCTCCCACCCCTTTGCAAGGCAGGTACTCTGAACCATTGCCTACCACTGAGCTAAACAACCATGAAGTAACAGGACCAGTTGTCTGGTTAACCTCATGGGAGTGTAACAAGGTTAATTTATAAAAGTGCCAATTTCTATTGAAACGCGCACTTTTTGTAAAATGAAAAAAGAGAAACAATTTGAAAAGAAATCACTCTTCACACATAAAATACGTACTCAAGCTAAGTTGTTTTAGGAGTTTGGAGTATTCCTTTAATCATCTATACTCTTACTGTGAGGGGTATTTTGTGTCTCACAAAAAACTGACTGTAAGTACAATAACTTTATGAAAAAACGAGTGAGTGTGTTGTATGTTGGGGTTGCATTTTAACCAAAATCGTGGGGGATAGGGGTAAAATTCTGGAACTATAAAAGCTTAGAAACAAAACAGATCTTGATTCTTTATGATTTACTAACAGATTAACTACTGACTGAAAAATGTGACCTTATTAAATTTTAGTAAATATAGTTAGCAGTCATTAAAAGTTTCAACTCAACATGAGTGGACGACAGGAAAAGAACAAAAAGCAATTCTTGGAAGAATAAATCACATTCATACTTATTGAAATATTTCAGTCTTGTATTTGATTTTTTTAATTTTTATTAATTTCTCTTTATTATAATGCTTTATAGTCTATATTTTTAACCCAATTAGTGCTTTGATAAATGAGTTTAATTCAAGGTTTTTCAACTTCACCAAAGTATGCTTACTATGAGCGTTATTTACTAAAGTGTATTCAAAGAAAATTGAAAGTTGGCAAAAATAGCCAAATTAGAATATTTCTCCAGCACAATACTGTTTTCAGTTCAACTATTTTGGCATTTAATTTGAAATTCACTTTGACATCACTCTGAATTTCTGGCAATTCTCAATTTAGTGAATAATTTGCTTCAATGTTAAACAATTTAACCAATACACCAGTAAATGTCAAGCTATCATAGCATGTAATTATCAAATAAATATAATGGAATGGAAATTGTGATTCACACAATTTACAAAAAATATATCTTTCATTTTCAGGATTACTTAAAGGACAAAGATGACCAGTTAGTTGCAATGTTCATAGAAGAACTCACTCAAGTGAATGAGATGTATGTGTCCATGGCCCACAATCCTCCAATGCACATTAATATGGCTCCTACAGTCAGCAAGTTGTTGTGGATTAGAGGACTTCATGCACGCATTTCTGTAAGTTGTTTTTGTAAGAGTTAATATTTTTTCATGTTTATTATGCATTAGTCTAATGGAAGAAGAATAAATAATGGGTTGGAATATGTGATGTAAAGCCCTAATTGTGCATAAATGTGTTTATTCTTTTCTTACATTTTGTGTTTCATATTGTCTATCCCAGGAACCCATGGTGAAGCTGAAATTAGTATCACCACTCACTCTAGAAGGAGACTTGGGATGGAAACTGAGGCATTTGTACTCAGCAACAGAAGAAGAAATAAAAAGGTACACAAATGCAGGAAGGCTAACATATTCAGCATGCTACAACAAACATCAGTTTGCCATTTCAATTTTGATATAGGTGTGGAAGTGCAGCTCCACATATTGTCTGCATAAGGAAGCTCTTCACAAAATATACCCAAATAGAATTTCTCTATTTACTTCCCTAATAAATAGTGAACATAGAAAATACATACAAAAAATACATAGAAAATAAATACAAGTGATACATGTAAAATCTTTGTTAACAGTACTTGATGTTAAAAAGCATTGTCATTTCTGTGGAATGTATGATCACTCATTGGTGTCTATCACAAGGTGGCAAGGGGTATAATTGCCCCCCAGGTCATTACTATTGCACAATGTACAATTCACCTGCTGAAGAGCAGCCGCAGATGAGTTGGTATGTCTGCAACTAGAGATATATGGCAGAAGCAGGCAGGACCTTTGCTACCATGTGGATTTGTGCGCTCCAGATTTTTAGTGGAACATTGAGATATTACCTTAGAATCTGCTGTAGTTGGGTTCATCCAGGTGGCCACACCTCCCCTTGTGTCTGTCTGCTTTACCAATGCTCCAATCCATGATACCCTGCTGCTATGAGATTTAGTGGCTCTACTGCACATTCCCCCCAAAAAAGCAAATCTAATTTTTAGTGAAACATGTGGTTAAAATAATGGCCTGAAATGAAGGTGAAGAGGGGCCCACAAAATTCACAGCCTCTAGTAAGGACTGTCATGGGTAGTTAACTGAAATATAATTACTATATAATATGTATCTCCTGCCATTGAGAAGATTTGTAAAGATCAAAGTGATAATCTGAGTGTACATTTTTAAAATGTCTTTCTTACACACCAGGTTTGAGGACAATCTAGTGAAGTCTTGGCTCTCAGATGTGAATAAGGAACTCAGCGAGTCCTGGAAACTCCCTTTACTTGTAAGCATGTTATAAAACTTACATATTTTTGTGCATGATGGTTGTCACAGTCCAGCTATTGCTGGAGGCTCTGAGGCAGCGGTCCCACATTCATAAAGTGCAAATATACATATAGCGATTATCGTAATATACATGACTTCAGGCAGCATGTGTATTGAAGAGAGGGCCCAGCACACGCCATCTCCAGATTCCAAAAACTCTCTCCAACTTTTGTGAGCCCCTGCCTAGCCTTGTTTAGGTCTACATTCTTGTCCCTGACATCCTTGGACAGCTCTTTTGTCTTGGCCATGGTGGAGAGTTTGGAATCTGATTGATTGTTTCTGTGGACAGGTGCATTTTACACAGGTAACGAGAGAGTGCTTTAAGAGAGTGCTACTAATCTCAGCTTGTTACCTGTATAAAAGACACATGGGAGCCAGAAATCTTGCTTATTGATAAGGGATCAAATACTTATTTCACTCATTGATATGCAATTTATAACATTTTTTTACATGCGTATTTCTGGATATTTTTTTGTTGTTGTTGTTATTCTGTCTTTCTCACTGTTAAAATACACCTACCATTAAAATTATAGACTGATCATTTCTTTGTCAGTGGGCAAACGTTCAAAATCAGCAGGGGACTAAAATACTTCTTTATCTTGATGTGTATAGATGTGTATATCTATACATATCAGCATATCTCCCGGCAGCACACACCATCTTCAGCTTCCAGAAGCTCTTTCCAACTCTTGTGAGCCCCTGGCAGCTTTGCTGCTGGATATCATGGCAATGCAACATGCAGGCTAGGCTCACGAAAGTTGGGGAGAGAAGCTGCTGGAATCTGAAGACGGTGTATGCCACTACAGAGCAAGTCAGTTCAATGCCACTGGACCATCAGTGGGTGGGGGAGCCCAGACCTTGAGCTGTGTAATTGGCCCCAAAATTTCTGATGGCCACTGTGTTTTTACGGGACAAGCCATTACTATTAAAATGTCTCTGATTAAATTGATAGTAAAATAAATAGTGTGCTTATTAAAAAACAACCAAGTCAGGCAAATAGACTGAGATATTATGTTTTCCATATACTGAAGATAAAATGGTATTCTATGGAAGTTATACCCTAAAATAAGTACATATGAATTGAATGTTAAAGAACCACTATAGTGCCATGAAAACATACTAGTTTTCCTGGCACTATAGTGCTCTGAGGGTGCCCCCACCCTCGGGACCCCCTCCCGCCTGGCTGGATGGCGAGGAAAGGGGTTAAACTCACCTTTATTCCAGCGCCGGGCGGGGAGCTCTCCTCTTCCTCTCCGCCTCCTCTCCGCCAGTTTCTCTGAAACTGCTATGTTTATAAAAAAAAGGGGTTAATTATAGAGGGACCTGGCACCCAGACCACTTCATTAAGCTGAAGTGGTCTGGGTGCCTAGAGTGGTCCTTTAATGTGAAAACTGGAAAATTTCATTTTGCTGAAAAATACCTCTTCGTGTTGTTAGTTTGTTTAGTAATTGTTATACAAATATGTATGGAAGTATTTTTTTTTAACAGAGTCGTACAATTTTTAATGTTAGATTTGTACTTGCTTGTCCTATGCATATACCATTGCATATTTGAAGCTTTGACCACATTCTTGGGTTATAATTAGAGATGAGCGAACATTACGATTTTTGACCCCGAACCCGGACATTTCAGTTCGGTGTTCGGCGATTTAATGACCCGTTTTGAAAAGCTGCAGGGCAGCCAATCAACAAGCGTTTGACTCGTGTGCTCTTAGAAGCCATCACAGCCATGCCTACTAATGGCATGGCTGTGATTGGCCAGTGCAGCATGTGACCCAGCCTCTATATAAGCTGGAGTCACATGAGCTCTTATTAGTGTAGGGAGAGGATGTTGCAGCTGTTAGGGACAGATTAGGAAAGGGGCGTACACTTCATATCTGAGAGTCAAATAGAACCGTCAAGTACTGTGGTTACATTGCACTTTGAAAAATTAAAAAAATTTTGGTGCTAAAAAGTACATTTGTGGTGTGCACTTCATATCTGAGAGTCAAATAGAACCATCAAATACTGTGGTTACATCGCACTTTAAAAAATTCGAATATTTTTGGTGCTAAAAAGTAAACGATCGTCTGGGGTTGCTGTGTCTCTTGTGCAGAGATAACTTGCTGGCATTTCGGATTTGTACTGCCCGTATGGGTGGGACCAGTCTGATATGTTTCAGAGATGTTCTCTATGTAATGGCACAAGATGAGCAAAAACCAGCTTGAGATCTGAGCTGGACCCCACTGAAGGGCAGGCTATTTCAGCTGCTGCCCGTTCTCAGTATACTCTTGCAACCCATTTTTTTGCTCTCCATATTGTTGGTTGACAAATTCACATTTTTTGAGACAGTGAAGTAACTGTATTAATTATGCCTGTCACACTGTTGTGTGACCTCTCAAAATATTTTCTCTTTAGGACACAGGCACTGTTTACTGTCAGTGAACTTAATTGTTGACTATTGGTGGTTACATTGTCGCCTGACATAAACCATCTGTTAGTTTGGTGGGTGAGCGCAAAGAATGAGGAGAGCGTCAAATAAGGGATGTGGCCCTGGTAATGGTGCTGCTGGTGTTGGTGGAGCTCCTGTTGCAGGGAGAGGACGTGGTCGATCTGTGCCAGCTACACGCACAAGAGAAACACCTTCCTCAGGTGCGAGTAGGCGACAGAACCTTCAGCGTTATTTGGTAGGCCCGAATGCCACTCTACGAATGGTGAGGCCAGAACAAGTACAGGGCAAAAGTAGATTGGGTGGCTGACAATATTTTGGGGGCTACCCCAATTAAAAAACAAAACAAAAACAAAAACAAAAAAAAAATAAAAAACAGTGTTGGCTACCTCCTCCTCCTCCACCACCGCTTCCACCTACACCGCCACGGTCACCGCCTCCTCAACCTCCTACTCCACCTCCTCCTCCTAGTTCAAGATTATTATTTTACATTTTTATGTATTTTATGTTTTTTTAAATTATTTCCCTATCCACATTTGTTTGCAGGGCACTTGTCCTACTCTTACCCCCATTTTACTTCCTTTTGCAGCCCTGTAGTCCTTTCCAGGACTTTTTTAGAGCCATTTTAGTGCCGAAGTTTGGCCGAACCTGGCGAACCCGAACATCCAGGTGTCCGCTCAACTCTAGTTATAATATCCATACATTTGGGCTATAATATCATATTGTATTTTTGAAACTTTCACCATTCTCTTGTGTTCAGTAATGTCCAGTTGTAAGAGTGTCAATTTGCAGTAATTAATTTATGTAAATAATTAAGGTAGTTTGACAAAAGTATATTACTACTTGCTTATTGTTATGTCCATAACATGTTTTAAACAATAAAGAAATTAAGAGCAAAAACGTTTAATTGTGTCCAAGTGCACTCCAGACTCCAGTACACCGATCGATAGAGCATTAAAAAATATAGCAACTATTTAGCACACCTTATATTTCAACCCAAATCTCTGTGCAGCATTTCAACAATATGTATTTGTCAAGCTCTCTTGATGTTTGAAAGACCATAACATGTCACTAATAGAGATGTCGCGAACTGTCCGCCGGCGAACAATAGCGTGTGAACATATCCGATTTCCGGTCCGCCCCCTATACGTCATCATTGAGTAAACTTTGACCCGGAACCTCACAGTCAGCAGACACTTCCTGGGAGGGAGGGTCTGCTGCTGATTGGGTGGAATGTGTCTGCTGGCTGTGAGGTTCCGGGTCAAAGTTTTCTCAATGATGACGTATAGGGGGCGGACCGGAAATCGGATATGTTCGCCCAACGCTAACACGCTATTGTTCGCCAGCGGACAGTTCGCGAACAGTTCGGCGGACAGTTTGCGACATCTCTAGTCACTAAATCTCCCATATCTGGATTCTTTACTAACCCTTTAAAATATCGAACTGTTTTCACATGAACGTTTTCTATTTGTCTTTTTGTCACCATTCATACTACGATTTTTAAACTCATTATAAAGGAATAATCTACTAACAAGATTATGATGGCTGATATAAATATAGTTTTGAATGGATAGATAGATTACAGTTATGCTATTACCTGTATATCTCACGTTGTTTTTTTTTTTTTATTCCTGTTTCAGAGACCTTCCTTTTCAAGAAATGAACAGGAGGATTATTTCACTCAAATCGAATTAAATCTTAATCCAGACATTCTCATCTATCTACGGGAAGCTGAATATTTGGTGGGGCCTCCTTTCCTGATGAAGGCAAGTTAAATGAGATATATGCAACATTTTATTCAATGTCTTTATTTATTCTTTGCATTTTTTGTACATCAGAAATTAAATTGCATCTAACCACTTGTAGGTTTTAAGTGTCTGACTTAGGACCTATTTCTCCTGTTATCACTACTTTTTAAGGTCTAACTGCTATTCATTAAATTTTGGCTGCCGCTACTGAAAGCTAGTTACTAAGCATTGGATACTGGATTGTGTTATTTTTCATGGGAGCCACTAACTACTTAATGAATAGTTTCCTGCTGGTTTTCAACCCTTTCACTACTGTTTAATGGCTGCTACTAACATTCAAGACTTAACACCAGGCACTTGCCATATACTAGGAAGTTAACAGCTAAATTCCTATAAAATAAATATTAGTTGTATGGTATTACAATTAAATCCTGAAGCACATTATCAAAGCATATTAAACCATAGTGGACTGCAATCAAATTACAGAAAAGATCAGACACATGATATAATGTATATGGTCCTTCTTTCTATAAGCAAAGGACATGTGTAGTTTATATGAACAGTTCATAAAGCAGAAATAAGCCACAAAAGTGACATATGAATGTATATGGCATGACAGATATTATTACATTTCATTCACTGTCAGTATCTCCTGTTAAGGATAAAGTATGAATGTTTAGGGTGCATTCCCACCCTAATTGCAATGTTTTAATTGCAATGTATGGTTGATATCGTGACAGCTTATTCAGCATACATGTCTGGGATTTCTTTTCCTGACACTATAGTTTCCTTTAACTAATCTATACAGTAATGGATTAAGGGGAACTATTTCTGAATATTAATTGCTTGACAGAAATATCTTTCAGACGTGGTAGACCCCCAAAAGAAACAAACTATTCATAATACAGTGAGGGAAAAAAGTATTTGATCCCCTGCTGGTTTTGAACATTTGCCCACTGAAAAAGAAATTATAAGTCTATAATTTTAATGGTAGGTGTATTTTAACAGTGAGAGACAGAATAACATAAAAAAAAAACAAAAAAAAAGAAAATCAAGAAAAACGCATGTCAAAAAAGTTAGAAATTGATTTGCATGTCAATGAGTGAAATAAGTATTTGACCACTTCAACTTTGTACTTGGTGCCAAAACCCTTGTTGGCAATCACAGAGGTCAGACGTATCTTGTAGTTGGCCACCAGTTTGCACAAATCTCAGGAGGGATTTTGTGCCACTCCTCTTTGCAGATCCTCTCCAAGTCATTAAGATTTCGAGGCTGACGTTTGGCAATTTGAACCTTCAGCTCCTTCCACAGATTTTCTATGGGATTAAGGTCTGGAGACTGGCTAGGCCACTCCAGGACCTTAATGTGCTTCTCCTTGAGCCACTCCTTTGTTGCCTTGGCTGTGTGTTTTAGGTCATTGTGATGCTGGAATACCCATCCACGACCCATTTTCAATGTCCTGGCTGAGGTAAGCAGGTTCTCACCGAAGATTTGATCGTACCTGGCCCTGTCCATTGTCCTTTTGGTGTGGTGCAGTTGTCCTGTCCCCTTAGCAGAAAAACATAAGAAGCATAATGTTTCCACCATAAGAGCTTGATTTTGGTCTCATCTGACTACAACACTTTCACCCAGTTATCCTCCGAATCATTCAGATGTTCATTTGCAAACTTCAGATGAGCCTGTGCATGTGCTTTCTTACACAGGGGAACCTTGCCGTCACTGCAGAATTTCAGTCCTTCACGGCGTAGTGTGTTACCGATTGTTTTCTTGGTGACTATGGTCCCAGCTGCCTTGAGATCATTAACTAGATCCTCCCATGTAGTTCTGGGCTGATTCCGCACCATTCTCATGATCATTGAAACTCCATGAGATGAGGTCTTGCATGGAGCACCAGACCGAGGGAGACTAACAGTTTGTTGTGTTTCTTCCATTTGTGAATAATCGCACCAACTGTTGTCACCTTCTCACTATGCTGCTTGGCGATAGTCTTGTAGCGAATTTCAGCCTTGTGTAGGTCTACAATCTTGTCCCTGACATCCTTGGACAGCACTTTAGTCTTGGTCATGGTAGAGAGTTTGGAATCTGGTTGATTGCTTCTGTGGACAGATGTATTTTGTACAGGTAACGAGCTGAGATTAGGAGCACTCCCTTTAAGAGAGTGCTCCTAATCTCAGCTCGTTACCTGTATAAAATACATCCGGAAGCCAGAAATCTTGCTGATTAATAGGGAATCAAATACGTATTTCACTCATTCCCATGCAAATCAATTTATAACTTTTTTGACATGCGTTTTCTGGATTTTTTTTTTTTTTTAGTTATTCTGTCTCTCACTGTTAAAATACACCTACCATTAAAATTATAGACTGGTCATTTCTTTGTCAGTGGGCAAACGTTCAAAATCAGCAAGGGGATCAAATACTTTTCCCCCCTCACTGTATAGTCCTGGTTATAAATAAATTTAATGGTTTGTATTGGCCTCGAATATATTTGTATAAAATATTGTATATATGTCTATATATTGAATAATATTTGTATCATATCCCCTCTGAGTCGCTGTTTTTCTAATGTAAACAGATTTAAATTTGTTTATCTTTCTAAAACTAAGATGTTCCATTCTTTTTATCAAAAGAACACTATAGTGTTAGGTATTCCCAGCTCTATAGGAGCCTTCTGCCACCCCACCATGAAACAGTTAAATAACCCATTTAACACTTTCCAGATTCCAGCATTCAGGCTTCAGGTCTTTCTCATAGGAAAGCATTGACTCAGTGCTTTCCTATCTTTCCTATAGGGATTTATAAGTACACTGGACATCGTCATGCAAAGCATGAGGACGTCCAGTGTTGTTTCACAGAGACAAACTTTGTGAAACTGCAGGAACTTCAGGAAGCACAGACAGCCACTACAGACAGGCGCAGACAGCCACAGACAGGCGCTAAAAACAGTCTTAACACTGCAATATAAACATCTCTAAAACTGCAATGTTTTATATTGCAGAGTAAAGGGAGCAGGGACTTCACCCAGACCACTTTATGATGACTGAGATGAAATGGTCTGGGTGCCTATAGTGTTCCTTTAATTATGTAGCCTGCCTGTGCACTTTTTGAAGCATGATACTATCCTTATTTAAAAAAGGTTCCCAAAATTGCACAGCATATTCAAGGTGTAGTCTCACCAGTGATTTCTAAAGAGACACAGTTATATTTTTATCCCAAGAATGAATGCCCCTTTTTATATATGACAATACCTTACTGGCCTTAGCAACTGCTGCTTGACATTGCACATTGTTGCATAGTTTGTCTATTGCAATTCCCAAATCCTTGTTTTGTTATCCCTAATTCACTACCATTAAGGATGTAAGCTGAATGTGCATTCTTTATTCAGAAGTGCATAACTTTGCATTTATCTACTGTACATGAAATTTAATCTGCCATTTGAGTGCCCAGTCCCCAAATCCATTTAAATCCCTCTGCAGCAAAACAATATCCTGCTTACATTGTATTACTTTACAGAGTATTGTGTCATCTGTAAACACTGAAATATAACTTTAAATGCCTATTTCAGTATCATTTATGAATATGTTGAATATAAGTGGTCACAGAACAGACTGCTGTGGGACACCACTTTTGCCCAACTTGAAAATTTAACATTAATGACAACTCTCTGTGCTCTATCTTTAAAACTAATGTTCTATCCAAGAACAAGATTTTTTTTATATAGACCAATTTTCTTTAGTTTGAAAACTTACCAATTGTGTGGAACCGTGTAGTAGATTACATCCACTGTAAAACCCCGATCTATTGCACAGATCTTAATCCAATTGAGCATCTGTGGGATGTGATGGAACAACAATTTTGATCCATGGAGGCCTCACCTTGCAACTTGCAGAACTTGCAGAAATGATCTGCTGCTTATGTCTTGGTGCCAGATACCACAGGACATGTTCAGATAACTTGTGGAGTCCATGCCTTGACATATCAGAGCTCTTTTGGCTGAGCAAGGTGAATCTACACTGTTTTAGGCAGCTACTTTTAATGTTGTGGTCTGATCAGTGTATGAACATTTTTTTGATAGTCTTATGGTCCTTATGGTATTTATGTTTTTATAAAAATTGGAAACCTGTTATATCACCTTATAATGTCAAACTTCATTTGGGAACATGTTAAGTGTTTATTTCTAAATATATGGATAATTTGTTGTATGTATATTAGATAATCACAAAGAATCAGAGTGCATATATTAGCAGTAAATATATCCACAAATTCATGTATTTTTACTGAGAAAATGGGGAAAATATTTAGATATTATCACGAGTACATGAAGAATATCTCATCTACATATTTGTATTACTATGATCAACACTTTATCTCTTCTCTCCTAAAATCTTCCTTCTTCCTCATTAAGGAATTTAACATGCTTCCCCTGTCTACAGAACTTCCTCAAATGTCTTTCTCAAAGCAGCAACAGAGTGCAAGAGGCAAACAAATAACATACAAACATTTACAAGCTTGTCTTATGTTAAGTTCCACTCAGGATGTCTCACATAAGTAATATGTATTTTACCACACTTTAAAGAGAAGACAGTCCTAAACTAAATTGTTAGGCATGCCTTCTTTGGTTTTAAGGTATGGCTGATACTTCCTTATGCAGAGTGAACGAGGGGGCCACATCTGATGTGTGGGAATTCTGCTTTGTTTCTATCTTCCCATTTTCAATTTCATGTCTTCCCTCATGCTGCTTCCTCTACACAAAGCCGCCACCAGAAATTTTGGGGCCCCTGACAAAGCACAAGGTCTGGGCCCCCCCATCCTGCCCCCTCCCCTGGCCCGGCTCCTACCTAGTCCGCTGACAATGATGCAGGACTGAATGTGGTGTGTATAGTGGAAGTGAATTAGAAAGTGTGTAATGGATGTAGTGTTTGTGTGCATTAGATACTGTTTGTGCAGTGAATGCAGAGTGTGTGTTTGTGTAGCGGATGCAGTGTGTATAGTGATCGCAGAGTGTGTTTGAGTAGTGGATGTAGTGTGTGTTTGTGTAGTGGATGTAGTGTTTGTGTGTACTAGATGCAATGTGTTTAGTGGATGCAGTGTCTGTAGTGGATGTAGTGTGTGTATTAGCCACCATTCCCTTACTAATTACTCTTAAAAATCATCATGTAGAGCAATTTCACTAATCAGTTTAATGCTCAAATATCATGTAGAATGTAAATTCAAATGTAAATGGTCTCAATTACCTAACTGCCATTATTTAATACAATATTTAATTTAATGTAAATGTATTCTTCTGGGAATAATATATTTCATGTATAAACCATATAAAGTCTTCCTTAAAATTTCTAGCTCCCTGAATCTGTGGAATCTTTAATGAAGAACACCGATATCGAGAAGTTCAAGGTTCTATCCACATGTCTTGAGACAGTGGTGTCAAAATACAATGAAGTCATAAAAAATATTTCGTACCATCAGAAGGCACTGTTTGAGAAAAAGTTGTTGAAGACCTCAGAGGTATGGCTCAAATGTAAAATACCTTTTAATGGATTAGTAACTTTACATCACATACCAGACAAAAGAATTACAAAAGTAATTTAAAACATCTGGAAAATATAAAGGTAATTTATTTGTTGGAGTATATCGATATATAAATATCTGTACACCAGCCATTTATTATTAGCATAATGCAGACACATGCTAGTAAAATGTGAAAAATAAAGGAAATAATTAGTACCTCACCCCAGGGTGTGAAAGCTGTGTGAAAATTTTAAAAATCGTTCCCCTCACATGTAAATGTGAATATCGATAGTCCAACAAAGAGGACGTGACAATGCTCAGGCTTATTCACTAGAGTGGGGATTCAAAGGGAATTTTAAATTTAAAGTCAAAGCATCTCACCTGTGTTTTTTTTTTTAAATCAGCTATTTTTACAGTTTGATTACTTTGGCCTTAAGTTTGAAATTCACTTTCAATTCTCAGTTTAGTGAATAACCCTAGCCCTAACTCTGAATTATGCTGTAAATGTGTCTGTCAGTTCTACTATAATCTACACGTAGAATAACAGAAATATAGATCTAGATAGATCTAAATACATAAGTAGATAGATATTTTGTTTGCAACTTTATCCTTAGAGTTCTTGTCACATAGGACAATAAAAAAACTATTATTGATGGGGTCTGTTCACTAGAAGCTATTTTAGCCTGAAAGCACCAGAATGACATAATAGACAGAAATTAATTCAGTGATCGCTCACTGCACAGATGCACCTAAGTTGCTCCAAGTAAAATTTATTTTTCTTAAATCAAGAAGCTACTGATGTTGATATGAGTAAATAGTCACTTTCTGCTTTATATTCTAATTGAGTTATGACCTTTTCCAGATGAAAACCCATTTCACTGCTTTTATAAGCAGATCAATTTCACAGTATTTGCTTTTTCAAACAGGTTCTGAAGGATGGAATGAGCCTTTTCACTTGGAGCATGAATGAGAGCACAGATTATATTGAACGTGCCACCTCCTATATTTGCACAGACCTTCATACCAATTTCAGCATTGTTACAAACAATTACAAGATCATTACCGAACTTGCAGCAGCATGGTGCACAGCAAAGCTTGACATATTCACCTGTCGAGATTTCAGCAGGAGCTATTCCATTACTGAATTAATAATAACACAGAGGTATGTTTCATTGTGCTCCGTAATGCTGGTTTATTTTAAAATGAAAGTTAAAACACAAAAGTAAAGCTGATGGAAAGAACTCAAATAAAAAATAGCAGATGGCTGTTACTATAGGATATTTCATTTTTCTGTGTGAGATAATAGTACTTATTCAATAAATGGAGATTTGTAGAGAAGTGACAAGTAAATTGCAAATGTTTTGCCAAAATAGCCACACTGTAAATGCTGGAGAATTATTCAAGTTTGGCCTTTCTCCCCAAAATGTGATTTTCCATGTCAATTTTCCACATTGAAATATATCAGCCTAGAAAGTGATGTAAATATGTGTTAAGGGCAATTAAGTGTATTGGGCAAGCCTGCCCTCAAGAGGCCACGGGCCATTTTTTGTAAGTGGTACAACAGTGTTTCTGGCTTACATGACCCTTGCTTGAGGAGTTACCAGTAGGACTTTGCTTGTCATAAAATAAATAAAAGTGATTTAGCTACGTAATGGCAATTAATTGAGCAGTGAATTTTAAAGGCATTATATATACACAAATATGACTTCATTAAGCTGAAGTTGTTTTGGTGACTAGTGTCTTTTTAAGTGAAATCAGATTAGATTAATTTTGGTGACATGGGAGAGGAATTAGTAGTAGATGATAGGGAGGTGGTTCCACTAGTGGGGAATAGGGAATTATCTCTATTGAAGCAAAGGGGACTGGTGGTAAGTCAATTTTACTGTGGCTGGGGTGAATTAGGTGTGTTTGCCAAAACTTTGCTTATTATCTCACGATGAAAACTAGTATAGATATAACCAATAAATCACAAAAAAATTCCTTATATAGGTCTAGTATAAACAGCATGTGTACTGATCACATACAGACACTCCTCCTTACTGACCGGGTTTCATTCCTACGACTCGGTTGTAGAACAAATTGGTCGGTAAGTGAGGAGTTAAGGGATTCTCTGCTATGCTGTGTTCTTCTATGTTCAGGGATATTTTCCTGAACATAGACGAACGCAACAGAGCAGGGAATCCTTCTAATCTATATTCAGGGAAATTTCCCCGAGCTTAGATTTAAGGGATTCCCTGCTCTGGTGCGTTCGTCTATGTTCGGGGAAATATCCCTGAACATAGACGAACACAGCAGAGCAGGGAATCCTTCTAATTCCCATGGCGGCTCGCACTTACCACCCCGCGAGACAGCTGGTCGTAAGTGCGAGCCATCGTAAAGCAGGTAGGTCACAAAACGAGGACCACCTGTACACATCTCTGCAATGGATAACAATAAAGTTCACATACCCTTCTCTCTGTGTAGACAGACTGTACACATACAATGTTTATTGTCAATTTATCTTTATTTGATACAAACTCTCTGAATAAAAATGTATATTTAACACATATGAATATTACTAATTTATCTAAAATATAAGCTAAAATGTATGATTTTTAGAATATACTCCAGCTTTGCTTTGCATTAATGGATAAATGACTTCCAAATAGATAGGGATTCTTAAAACTGAGAAGGTTTACCAGAACCACCTTAAAACATTTAAAGCTTTAAAATTATTTGCTTTGTATTTGAATAATTATTTTACTTACTAACTTATTTAGAAACATTGAACATGAATTGGAGAACATACTCATTCCAGAAGGACAGAGAATCCATAGCCTTGTTCAGCAATCCTTTCATGCCAGTGGCATTAGCGAGGCCTCACCTGCTTGGCAAGACTACATAATGGGCATCGATGACTTGATTTTCCAAGGCCTAAAGAAACTTACTATCTCTAGCTTGGCTGCCCTTCTCAACACAATCATGGATGACGAGGTAAATCATTCATGTTCAGCATTATGAAGAGAAGAACTGCTCCTCTAAAATTAAATTTTTACAGTTCACAGTGTGACATTAAATGCTAATCACAGCCCTTTTCTCCTCAAATACCATACAGTTTTCTTGTCAGATCACATTTCTGTTTCTCTCTGCTTCCTTCTGAGAATCAGACATTCCTTTATTCCACTTCTTTTTCAAATTCAACTAAACTCATCAGACTCACCTGTGCTTATTAGACCTATTCTGTCATCGCAGACTTCCCTATCTTGATAAATACCTGATCTTTACCATCCCTCCATCTCTCCATCCTTTACTGCTCTTCTTTTCCTTGCTCATCTCCCCTTTCATTCTCCAACCCCTTTTTTTTCTTCCCACACAGTACCTTTTCATTATCAGAACCCTTTTCCTTTTCAGCTAATATTCCTTCTCAGATCACCCACTTTTCTTCGCATACACAACTTTTTTTTTAACAGCCTCAAACCTCCACATGCAAATAAATAAATAACCTTGTCCATTTAAAGCAATAAATACACAGGAGGCATATGCCTTTTTCTGTATGGTCACTGAGCAGTGGATGCCCTCTTTCAGTTCGATCAATAAAATAAATGTTTAAAGGGACACTGTAGTCACCAGAAAAACTAAAGCCTGTTGTATTGGTTGAGTATAGTCCGTCCCTGCAGGCTTTTTTGCAGTAAACACTATTTTTTTCTTCAGAGAAAAGGCAGTGTTTACATTGCAGCCTAGGGACACCTCCAGTGGCAACTCCCCAGATGGCTTCTAAGGGTGCTTCCTGGGGCTTGAAATTAGACCAACACATTTCATAGTAATGTGTTTATTATGTGTCAGACACTTAAAGGATTAAATTATATTGCAAATTATGTATTACTCAGTATGATTTGTTTAATAATTTACACTACTTTGAGGTTAAAGGACAAGACAATAATATTATGAACTGTTCCTTGAAATCTGGTTTATTCTGCCAAACACACAATGCTGGTATTGTGTAATTACTTTTATTAGCAGATAAAACCACAGAGAGAAAAAATAAGTCTAGACACATAAGTAGCAATATACATTTATATACATTTCCAAATTTTCATCATATTATCAATATATCTTCTTCTTTGGTCTAGTGGTAGATGCTTTGTGTTTTACCCTTGTAACCAGGATTCATTTACTTATATGAGAATTAAAAGTTTTATTTTTTTCTTATGATTCTTGTTCTTGGACTGGTTAGGTTGTCAGGGGGCGGTCAGATAGTGTTTTAACATTAAAGGGTTACGGATATATGTTGTATATATGTGTTCCTGACCCAATAGTGCTCCTTTAAAGTTTCCCCCTCAAGATCCTTTCATAATATATTTTTTTTGTGTGCTTCGTTATCCTTTCTCTGATTGGCCATATTTGAACTGATACATTAGAACATTGAAAGTATGTAACTCTAACTGGTTCTTTAAAAAAAAAATAAAAAGATATACAATCTGCTATGGATCCTAGGATCCCTTGAAGCAAATCCAGGTGACATGATGCTGAATAACCAGGAGCAAAGGTTTCCCCTAGGGTGTGTAGTATATGAGAAGTGAAAAGATGACACCCATTGTGGATCCTATGGTGCATGGAGCAGTGGCATTTCACACATCCAAACATATCCTCTGCAACCAGGATATTATAATGTAAAAATAGAAACAAGCTTTGAAAAAAATTCAGGGCCTGTATATTACCAATAATGCATCATGAGTCTTGTTCATCAGGATCCCAGGCACTATTAAGTCTTGATTCCTCTGCAATTTACACTTCAACACCTATCATACTCTGTAACCCATAATTCAAAGTTGAACTCAACCACATGAAATTCATTGATCACATAATCTGCACTGAGCTGGAACCTGCTCCCAATCCTAAAACCTAGTTACACACTACTTTCTTGTGCCTTAATTGTGATAAATACATGGATTTTTGCTTTGAGCACATTAAGAGGTTTTTGCTCACTGTCCATGACTTTAACCAGAATAATTAATGGATTTTGCTTACCATGGAAATGTAGCACATATAACTGTTGACGCAGAGCTCATTATAATGTTTTCTTCCAAGAATGAGTGCAATGATGAGAAATTATCATGCAAAAATGCAGTCCTTAAATATTACAATTGTATAGTACATGTGATATTTACACCATTTTTGCTAACTTTTTGCTGTTGAGAAAAGTGGAGTACAAGTGTGGTTTGTGTGATAAATACTAGGAAATGTTTTTTTTTTACAGCCTAACTGTAAAACTAATATACTTAATCACTAGATGAAATGGTGTACCCGTAACCCAGGAATGGCTATCTTTTTAGCCTGGCTATTCATATTAAGACACATAGTTTAATAACAGCTGAAATTCTCTCATTTGCTCTGGTTTATTCTTCTTAATTATATCATGTTCTGTTCATTAGTAAAAATGATAGTATTGTTCTAAGTAAAATAAAGTATAATAACATAGCATTACTTTTCTAATATGCTGCATTCATAGTAAAGAGAAGTAAATGTCTAATCCTAATCCTCTACACTTTATTTGACCATGTGTTAATGTATTTGATTAAATAAAAGATCAGTGTAATTATACAAATCAAATTAGATCTTAGTGTAAATATTCTTCATTACACGATAAATTAAGAAATGAATTATGATAAGTATATGCCTCTTTTTTTTACAGCATGTTCCTATCCTATGCATTGAAGTTGAATTGATTAATAACGAAGTTGCCTTAAATCCACCACTGGACCAGAGCACATCGGATACAAGTGTGATGGAGAACATCGAAGAATGGCTTAAGGTCTTTCTTTTGAGAGGATCTCATATACTGGCAATCTCTCCTGCTGTCAAGGTAAGTGTAATACAAGTTAATAACTCACATCATCTCTGTTAGATTACAGTGAGTCAATGCTGGTTTATTGAATGGTGATTTAGGGGAACTGTGACCAAAATTCTAGGAAAGCAAAAAATTTCTATCCACCCCTCCATTCTAATTTATCTTTAGAATGATGTCTGCTTGGCGACAGTGCCCTATTTACGTCAGGATAGAATGAAATGTTTCCATTCACCTTTAATAACTTTAACCCCATTAGAAGGTGCGTTTTTGCTTTCAGAGTGGATTCCAAGCGTATTTGTCAGAAGATAATGAAGCGTTACAACTGGTTGGTCACATTCTGCAACAGGTGGACACGAGTGTTAAAGACTGTCAGGTAGGAATCTCATCAGTGATTATCAGTACAGCAATAGTTATTTGGTACTGCCATGAGAAAGTAAGATTCTCATCATCCAATATGTAATGCTTCATTTTGAACAGCTGGTGGCACTGTTGCTTCATGAATCATACGCTGTATGTTTCTCCTGTTCAGAACAATGCTGGATAGAAAGAATAATAATTCTGCAAGCTAATGATTTCCTTTATTGAAAAAAAAATAAAAATATCCCAGACATTTTCCTCATTTAAATATTTAAAAGGTTTTATAAACCCCCCTCCTTTTTTTTTTTTATTTCCATCCCCATTCTCCTTAGAGCTTCCATTTACAAATTACCCTTTGCAGAAAATCCTTCACTCCTACTCCAGCTGTTTTATCTTGTTACAACAGACATTTATATTGAAATATAGCAGGCTGTTTGTCTTCTTGTACTACACAAGATTTCCTTTGAGACCAGGCGGACCTTTAATTGAGACAATTGCAAGAGCCATAGCAAGCTGTTGTAGTACAGAACACCGACCTGATGTCTGCATGTCAATCACGATCGCCAATACACTGTGACCATGTATTTATTCTGTATGCTTGTCGTACTTCCATTGATTAGCAGATCAGTAAGCACAAGGGACAAAAAAATATGAAATACAAAAAGCTCCTACAGAGTATACCTTGCCAACTAAGGGCTTTTTTACAATGTTACTGGTAAGTATTTCTAACAAGCTGCTACTCACTAACATGGCTGTAGCTAACATTACCGTTTTTAAATCTGCAATATCCAGCTGTTGAAACTTGTAAATACCAGATGAGACCTTTAATGACTCCCATACACAATAACAGGAGATCAGTGGTTGTTCAGGTATTTACATACTTGTCACTAAATTTGAATGGGTGCTCCAAATTTAAAATCTTCATGTAAGGGCAGCCTGTAACTTGCCTCTAACCTGCCTAAAAAGAGACATAAATTAATAATAAAATTACCAGATAGTGGTAAACTGAATAGCCTGTACTCCTTCCTTTGCTCCATAAGCGTTAACATTAGGGGTGCTAAGCCTCCTATACCCCTATAAGCCCCCTATACTGCCAAATGTACTCAGATGTTGTCAATCTCATAATACCCCCACCCCTTTTTAAAATTCTTTATTTTGCGTTTTCAAACATAGATGAGACATTTACATTTAAAAATAAAATATAACATAAAGATCTCTTTCCACAGATGGTGGATGTATCCTATAAAACTATATATTTTGAAAATTTAGATGGAAGTAGATGGAGAGAGATTCCAAAGTGCACTGCAGATTCATAATTTTCTAGAGATACCTCGTTCTCAACATTCTCTTTTAAGATGTCAGTCTCCTTCTTCTATCTTTCTCATCCTCTCCTCTCCTCCCGCTCCTCTCCTCTGTCTTTTATTTCTGGCCTAAGCTTTTCATCGGATGTAATTATTCAATCTCCTAATCTCTTAATATGCCACTGGAGCCAGAAAAGCTCAATGTCATAACCCTTAAATTACAGATTTTACCCATAACATGCCAAAGGGGGCTAGGAGATGCCCACTTATTCTGCCATAATTTCCTGGTAAAGGACAAACCATTTTGCCATGTTTTGTCCTCTAACCTGGCTCTCAACTGGGTGTGAAGTGTCCTCTATGACCAGTGCAGCTACACCTCCAGCAGCAACAGTGTTAAACTCTGTATGTGCAGAATTTCACAGTTGAATGCTGTACATACAGACTCGAAACACCATGACCACTTCAAATCACTAAAGTGGTCATAGTGCCTAGAGTAACCTTTTAGTAGGGAAGTGTGGGCCCAAATATGATGGAAAGGGTAGGGAATTTATAATTACACGTTGAGGACTCACAGATCACAGTGTGTATTCTTTTCCTGATCTTAATGTCCTTTTCCCATCACTCTGGTCTCCGGGGCAGCTCTAGTTCTGTCAATTAGAACTTTGTCCTGGTGAAATTGTTATGGCAATTATTTGAAAATGTAAGTTTTCCAAGTAGAGTACAGCCATTAAAATCAGTGGTAAGCCTTGAAAACCTATTAGTACTATGTGGCTGAAAATTTTAAACAGCTTTTACTAATAACAATGTTTAGAACTGATGTTTACTAACACAAGAAATTGCAAATTGTATTCCAAAACACCTGCGTTGGAGAATTTTTCGAATCTGTCTAATCTACTTATTTTGGACTTTCATTTTCATTTACCACGTATGCGTCACACATTATGGACATATGATCTTATTTAGCCAGACATGCACAAGCTGGAACAGGGTTACACTATTCAATCTCTCTGATGGATTGTGGACGCCAGAAACATAGAGAGAAGCATGTGGAAGCCATTCATTCAGTGATTGCGTATTGAGCAGACTAAGTATGCCTTTCCATACCATCATGAGACTGTGGAATGAGCGTCTATTAGATTACTGCTTGAAACAGTGGCAGAATAGTTGGTGTCAATGCAGCATGATGATCTAGCTGAGTTCTGCAAAACGGCACATCAGATACAGATCTCTCTTATCTAGCATACAGAGAATCTAGTTATTCTCCAGCCTCTCTTACAAATCTCAGAGCAACATTACCAAACTAAACTCAACTCAGAGCAAGAACATACTAGAGAGTACTTAGTTTGAAATTACAGTGTTTTTGAAGTCCTGCCTAGTTATTCCAGCCAGGATCCCTAAAAGAATGGCAACTCAGATTAGCAGTTGCATTGGATTTTTACACAGATGCTTTAGAAGTCTGTAGACTATACATTGACTGTAAAATGACTAGTATAATAATTAATAAGGACGAATGCATGCTTCAGGTCCCCTGCTATAATATGTTAATCATAAAGCGCTTTTCTTTATGTATTTTTATGTATTTTTTTATTATTATTTAGGCCTTGCTGGATGTTTTTGGCAATTATGCTTTTCTATGGAAAAAAGATGTTAACGTAGAATTCCAAAATTTCCTCCATGGCAAACATTCTCCACCTTCATTGATTATACAAGACATGGAAGATGAGGCTGATCTAGTTAGCAAGAGGTAAACTAGTTTATCATGTTAACCTTTGTAATGAATCTTCTGTCATTTATACTTTCAAATACATGGAATTTCATATAGTCCGGTATAGAACACACAATATAAGCTTGTAAAAAAAAGAATCAGAATTTACAATATCCATGCTTTAAGGAACACTCCGGGCACCATAACAACTTCATCTCAATGCAGCACTAGTCAGCTTGGTCCCTTTTTTTGAATGAAGATGCTCTTAGTTAGTTCCTGATTGCCCATTGAGAAACATTCACTCAAAAGGTATGTATGATCATTGGCACACTTTCCAAGAAACTGAGGAAATTAGGTGAAGACAGAGGGGCTTAACTGACAGGTGCAATATGGGCAACGTTGTGGTTAAACCATTTATAACATGTTTATCCCCTTAAAGGGAACCTATAGTCCTGAAAGTGGATGTGGCGTTATATAAAGATTCATTGAATCTGTCATAGAGCAGTGTTTCCTAACCCAGTCCTCGGTGCACACCAACAGTGTGAAATTCCCAACAATTAATTGCAAATTGAAAAAAAGTGTATAGTGGAACACAAATCTAAACATAATATCAAAATTAAAAGCTTGAGAAAGGCAGATTTCCTAAGTTTGGTTATATTAACTTATAATATGTCTATTATTAACTACAGTCCACACTAGACTCTGAACTGGAAAATATGGGAAAAATCCTCCAGAATTAGCCATTCTATTAAGCCCATTATTCCAAATTTGTGACATCTTGGTTTCAGTGATTGTGGTGAATTATGTAACTGCTCCTTTAATTGCAACAGGAATGACAACAGTATGAAGATACTAATTGAAGCAGAACGAGCCTTCATTCTTCCTACAGATCACAGAGGCAAAAAACCACATAGCCCTCTGCTAGAGGATTTTGATATTGAAATCTCCAGATATAAGGTATAAGCGCTGCCCCCTCTTCTGCATCCCATTCTAACAATGAAGACATGTAATTTTATGTGTTCGTTTTATAGTATCATGTTATAGTAATCATTTTCCTGATGCCATTGTCTAGGAGTAAAATCACTATGTAACTTTAAAATAAATGTGTATTTATGGAAACGGAAAATTATATATGACGAGATATCCTGCATAGACAGACAAAGTAAAACAATTCTGAAAAAACAAAAATGGGTAGAAAGTAAGAAGATAAATGGACCCAAAATATATAAGAAAAATTCATACCCCTTCAATAAACATTTCATACTGTATCATTACACAGTGTGTACCAAAATTAATTTATATGTATTTTAGGTCCACACATAGTTGATAAATTATAGGTTTTTGGCAAGCATGTCTCTCCATTCACTGTTTATTTATGAAGAGGAATCCTGAAGCAAAATTCTAAAAGTGGAGCAATCACAATGGAAGCCAAAGGATTTGCTCTGTTTTTAGCACTTTGCATAACCTTTTGTGATAATAATCACCAGAATAGTTTTAGGAAATAGTCATGCTAGACACAAAAATGTGTCCTGTTATCATTAGAATAATTTCCTGTTCAATGGCATGTTTTCTACATATAGGCTGCCAGAGACAACATTCAGACTCTGCCAAATCTTCAGAGGAGCGGGTGGATTCAAGTGGACTTCTGTCCCATAAAGCAAGTTCTCAGAGCATATGCTCTCAAGTGGATGTGGACCTTCACAAAATACCTTATAGACCAGGTGAATCACTTTTTCCATTTCATGTTGTGCAGTTGTGTTTTGAATTGTGACCAGCGATGATCTAAACCAGGGGTTGACAATCTTGAGCACTCCGGATGTTCTTATAGCCGTAATGTTGGCCAAGCACCAGGGAAGTCTTGAGTGCTGAAGGTTGTCTACCCCAGTTCTAGACTATCATAATCCATAGTGGAAGACAGTCATGGACAGTTTGAGATGTACCCTCAGTCCTTTGCTTGCTATGCTTAAAGGCAGACTTTTCATCTCTGCCCAAAATATACAGATTGGACTAAACATTGCTTTGTAGTCAAATAAGGAGCAGTAGCATCCCTAAGGAACAAATGTTTTTTTTTGTATGTAGACGGTTTTCTGACAAATGATGAAATATTGAAGGGATGTATCAAATCATAGTGAATCTGTGGACAATTTGGGCATTTTACTGTTTAATGTATACTTCAGTTTAGTATGGCTAAATTGTCTAGACATACAAGTAGCAATATACATCTATATACATTTGCAAATTTTGATCATATTATCTATATATCTTCTTATTTGGTTATTTGGTCTAGTGGTAGATGCTTTGTTTTTTACCCCGGTAACCGGGATTCATTTACTTATATGAGAATTAAATGTTTTATTTTTTTCTTATGATTCTTGTTCTTGTCACCAGAACAACTACAGCTTGTTGTTCTGGTGAGTATAATCATTCCCTTTAGGCTTTTTGCAGTAAACACTGTATTTGCAATAAAAAATGCAATGTTTACATTATACCATAGGGATACCTCCAGTGGCCACTCCTCAGATGGCTGTTAGAGGTGCTTCCTGGGTTAGTGCTGCACGTGTCTCCACCCTCTGCATGGAGACACTGAACTTTCCTCAAAGAAATGCATTGATTCAATTAATCTTTATGAGGAGATGTTGATTAGTCAGGACTGTGTTTGGCTTGTGTTAGCTCTGCCCTGATCTTCCTACTTTACAGTCTCAGACAAACAAAAGCTATGGGAAAGCACTGTGATTGGCTTAGATCACCCTTTCTGATGATGTCAGCCTAGGAAGCAGGTCAGGGGCAGAGCCAGCAGCAGCAGACTGTAATAAAAGTAAGACTTTACTATATTTAGGAGGACAAGAGGGAGCAGGGGGGCTTGATGGTGTTTTTAACACTATAAGATCAGGAATACATGTTTGTGTTTCTGACCCTATTGTGTTCCTTTAAGTAAGAGAAACCCAAACATGTTTGAAATGCCACATGCAGCAAATAGATTATCTGACATAGGCCATTGTATACGTAAGTAACCAATTCACTCCATGTTCACATCACAGATATTCAATAGTATTATTATTTTTTTATTCCCATCAATGACCAAAATAAATTTACAGAAAAATAGGGGAACAATGTAATTTTTTTTTTTTTTTTTAATTCTTTATTTTATTGTGCATGAATATGACAATCAAGCTTGCTGTGCCACAACAGCTTGGGCAAACAGATTAAAACATTGAAACATTAATATACATGTGAATGGCACGTGATATTACTGCACATTTTTGTTAAAATTACTACATTGCAGAACAAGAAAAAACAGTCTAGGCCTACAGTTGCTAGAATATGTGGTGTGATTGGAGTGTGCTCAGCTATGCCCTGTTGTTAGTCCACACTGACTGTAATATAAGTGTACTGTGGTTTTGAGGTGGGTGGTCCAATGTGTAAGTGAGTAGGCTATCCGTCTTGTCCCTTGGATAGGTTGGATTTAGTTTGTTCACCGTGTGTTGTGCGGTGCGTTCCTAGCCCTATCAGGTGGAGTTACGGGTACATATTCGGTATGCCACTGGGGCCCAATATATAAGTGTATGGCCGGTCAGTGTGGCGGGGGGGGGCAGGGAGTTAGCTAGCTAGTCAATTGTCCCAAGGTGCGGGCTACTGCAGGCATTAGGTTCTATTGGGCTAGTACTCCAGCAGGTAGGTTGTCGCAGCTTTCGAGTGTGTCACCTAGAGAGTAGCCCTCTTGGTGTGCCGTGATAGCAGCGTAGTGTTATAGATGTTTGGTGAGGATGCATGCTGGTTCGTGTGCTGTGACTATTGCTGTGAAGGGGGGGTGTGCTGCTTGGATTTGGGAGCTGGTTTATCGTTCCCGTTTGGGTGGAGTAGCTATTGAATCACTCTAGGGCCCCTGAGTTGGTGGGGGGGGTAGTCGGGTGGTGTGTCTGGCAAGAAGTGGTGTGGGGACGTTATTAGGTTATAGTAGCCGGATGGCTTTGACTGAACATGCCTACATAAAATTTTAACTTTACGACTATGTCAACATTAAGAGGTATTATCGCCTGCCAGTCCTTCGGCACTTCCCTCTACCAGAGGGGTATTGTGAGCCCGGGTCTGGTTGGGGCGTCTCATCCTGTGTCGGCTTCATTGCGAGGTACAAAGGGGACTATGTTGGATATGTCCCAGGAATGTCCAGGTTTGGCAGTGTCGGGCTTGTGCCGGTTGAGCCCCAGGCTGTGGAGGAATGGGTCGGCGTCAGCAGCTGAGGTGAGTCGGCGGGTGGTCTCGCCCTGTGTGGCTACGAGTGTGTGGGAAGGGCCCCATCTGTACTGGATGCCTGCTTCTCGAAGGGTCTTGGTGACCTGGCTGATAGAACGTCTCCACTCCAACGTTGCCCTGCAGAGATCCTGGAGAAAGGTTAGTTGGGAGCCCTCAAATTTGAGCGGGCTCTTGTTCTTGATGGCGTCCATCAGTGCTTGTTTGTCGCGTAGGGACTGGAATCTCAGGAGGACATCGCGGGGAGCGTCTGCTGGAGCCCTTGCGGACTTGGGGAGTCTGAGTATTCCATCTAGTTGCAGGTTCTTCGCCTGTTTGGGGTGCAGGGTCTCCGACAGGAGGCGCCTAATAAAGTGGGGTAGCTCCGTGTCGTTGACAGCTTCTGTGATGCCTCTTACTTTTATGTTGATTCGTCTCCTAGAGTCGTCCATCGCATTGACTCTGGCCTGCAGGGCCTGGTGTGAGCCTTGGAGTTGTTGTAGTCGCTCTGTTGCGTCTGTCTGGCATTGTGCCATGGAGGTGATATTCTCCTCTGTGGCCTTCACCCTGTCCGTCACGGCTGTTACCTCCTCACGGAGCAGCGCCATATCCGTGCGGAACCATGTGCGCAGGTGTTTCAGAAGGCCCAGGATGTCTCCCTTCGTTGCGGGAGCCCCCAGGTCCCCTAATTGCACGGTGGAGAAAGGGTCATCTGCCTCAGGTATGGCATCTGGGGAGTCCAGTGGGTCTTCGTCCGAGGATAGGCCTGGGGAGTCTGGCGCTGCCGCCATTTTGGTTTTAGGCCTCGCCAGGAATATGTCTCCTATTCGACGCGTGCCGTCGTCCGAGGATGCTTTCAGCTTCTTTGATCGTTTCCCCATATTGTTGTGCAGGGGTATGCTTAGTTTTCGGCGGTGCACCGTCTATTTTGTAGTCGTTAGCTAGGTTATTTGCCGCTTTCAGCTCGGAGCTCAGCCGACATGCGACTTCTCTCCATGAAGGTCAGGCCCCGCCCCCACAATGTAATTTTTTTAACCTACATTTTACTCTAACTGTAAGAGTTAATTAGTTAGTTAGAGTCCTGCATGTCACTAAATTATTTTTCTCTTTTTAGACAACGACTATTTTAAGAAACTTAGATTCCTTCTTAAAAAGAACAGAGCCTCAAATAGAAAGCATATCTGGAGATGCGCGAGACACCGGATCCTTTATGAAGATGATGCGACTTTTCAATGAGGTATGCTAGTAGAGATGTAAAACTGTTTTGTGCACATTAATTGGAATTCTCATTAATCACATTCTTTTCTCCTTCCAACTTATTTACACTTTCCACAGCCAGTACAAAAACAAATTAAAACGTGTTAATTTGTTTTGCTCTTCAGAGATGCCATATGTTATTATCAATGGAAAAGTATGTGCTCTAGCCAGCTCACCTAATGTTTCCAACCCCTGCTGACAGCACACATTGCTAATTTGTACTAATTCAGTTTTTCCCACATGCACTGTTACATCAAGGACAGTGACTGATCTTCAGATTGAAAATGGGCTACTCTTTACTAACAGAAATATTGTGCATACTGTAAGATATTTTAAAAACTCTCTCTCTTTCTCTCTCTCTCTCTCTCTCTCTGTGTGTGTGTGTTTATATATATATATATATATATATATATATATAAATTCATATGTAGATTTAAACAACAGAGTAAGTACCAGGGCAATGGCCAGACATCTTTTTGTGAGTCTTACTTTAGCTATTCACTAGGTATTCTTATAAATCCCTACAAATTAATTATTCCTTAATATGGCACATATTTTGGTGCAGGACTCATTTCTGGCTTTTATTGGCTTTTGTTTACAGTTACGTTACACTGCTGCTGCCCAATGCATATGTGCCCTATTAAAGATTAATTCGTTTTTTGTTTAGTTTTTTTTTTTTTTTTGCATTTCAATGCCATGTATTCAACTGAGTAATAGTGCTTTGTTCCTCCAAGTTATTATTATTCTGCATTATGTTTAGGACAAATAAACACAATGGACATGAACCTTAAACTCCATTATTAAAATTTACAACAACCCACTAAAATGACTTCAAAAACAAAGCAAATTATACCTTTTCAGTTTTCTAGCCAACATTCCAAAAATCAAAGCCTGGAGTACAGTGATGGGTGATACATTTTAAAGATGGTGGGTTGCAGCCCTCTGAGTTGTTGGGCTCCCAATGAGTAAACCCAGTGAGATGCCATGACCTCTTTAAAACCAGCTGCATCTATAGTCAGGAATAAGACAGAGAATGGAAACCGCAGCTATAATAATGATAGAATCATGTTTTTTTTTTCTCCAATAAATTCATCAGTAGTCCTTACATTGCCTACAGATTCAAAAACTAGGGCTGCCCACCTGTCTTATGGACCAACCTCCACTGCAGGAGCATCTTTAAAGGGTTACTCCAAGCATCATATCCTCTACAGCCTGCTGTAATGGTTTTGGTGGCAGGAGTACCATTCCGTGGCAAAGGGGTCAGATTGTCTTGCAATTGTTTCCAACTTACCTGGATCCCAAAAGGTGCTGAGCCTCAAGGAATAGGAGTAGTTTCGAATTTTGATACACTATCCTACTTTTAGATACTTGGTTTTCCGATTAATATTCAAGGAACACTATAGTCACCTAAATTACTTTAGCTAAATAAAGCAGTTTTAGTGTATATGTCATTCCCCTGCAATTTCACTGCGCAATTCACTGTCATTTAGGAGTTAAATCACTTTGTTTCTGTTTATGCAGCCCTAGCCACACCTCCCCTGGCTATGATTGACAGAGCCTGCATGAAAAAACTGGTTTCACTTTCAAACAGATGTAATTTACCTTAAATAATTGTATCTCAATCTCTAAATTGAACTTTAATCACATACAGGAGGCTCTTGCAGGGTCTAGCAAGCTATTAACATAGCAGGGGATAAGAAAATCTTAATTAAACAGAACTTGCAATAAAGAAAGCCTAAATAGGGCTCTCTTTACAGGAAGTGTTTATGGAAGGCTGTGCAAGTCACATGCAGGGAGGTGTGACTAGGGTTCATAAACAAAGGGATTTAACTCCTAAATGGCAGAGGATTGAGCAGTGAGGCTGCAGGGGCATGTTCTATACACCAACACTGCTTCATTAAGCTAAAGTTGTTCAGGTGACTATAGTGTCCCTTTCAAGTAAATATCCTGCTACCTAAACTCACATGTCAGTGACAGCTAAGCTTGGCAATCCAAATATTTGTAAACAGCATTGTTTACTTGTGAGATGCCAGAACAGCTATCATGGTCATATATTATTATTATTTTATTATTTATATAGCGCCATCACATTCCATAGCGCTGTACAATGGGTAGATATGTACATAGTAGATATTTCAATGTCCAAACCATTAAAGCAAATGTTTCAAAAAAAGAAAAGTTCTGCAAATGTAACTAGAAAAGCTTCAATTTCTGGGGAAATTGTGTGAAGTGTTCTTGCCTCCACCAGTAGTCTACAACTGAAGTGGGCGGAGTAACTGTTATTATTTATTTATATAGCACATTTAATTGCAACGTTGTTGCCCAAAGTGCTTCACAGTTACATTAAAACATATATTTATAAACACATTAACAGGTGTACAAAAGGGCCTTTCTATGACATCACTTGCTGCTCCAGCCTGGCACAGGTCAGAGTATTTTGGCGGTTGCCATCTTCAAACGGTCGTATTAAAAAGTATACATCCTACAGTGAAGAGTTTTATTTTGTGAGAATCACAAGACCCAGACCTACATTTTGATGCATAGCATGTCTCTGAAGTATTAAAAATGAAGGCACAGTCGCAGTTTAGAACTTGCCCTTCAAGTTTGAGCTGGCTAGAGTGGCGTTTCAATGAATGTCAATGGATGGCGTGAGTTGCAAACAAATGGTCATATTGTGAAAACTATCAGGACTATGGCTTAGCCGTGGACATGTTTAGTGGCAGCAGGGATAGCTGAACGTGTTGATATAAGATTTGTGTAGGTGGGCTTGAAAATGAGTAGTGGCAGTTTAGAAATCATGTCCTGATTTTTCAGCTTTTGCCAGCTCCCACTCTAGTTTTGAACATTTTGCCATTCATTCCTATAGGACCAATTTCGCCACAAGAATATTCCGTGAACCATTCGGCGAAACGTTCCACAAAGTAATAGCACACAAATCGGGAACAATCCACACGTTTTTGTATGTTACTGTCTATGTAGTGTATAAACTGTGGGAGGAGTTAGGGTGGTAAATTTGGATATAATAAGGATAATAATATATGAGAACATTAAGTGGTCTTGCTATGCAAGAACACTTAATAATAATAATAATATATATGTGAGATAACATTAAGTGGTCTTGCTATGCAAGAACACTTAATTATTAATAAATGATACATGTTTAAACTATTACAAAATCTCTTATTTACTGTCTAATAGAGTGCAGCAAGTTATTTTTTTTTATGACATGCAGGAGTGTGCACAGTTATACGGTACTAAGAGTTATAGTTACAGTCTACCTCATGCGTAATTTGAGGAAAAATATATCACAAAGCTTAGACCTTTAGCAGGCTAGTAAGACATATTCCTCAAATTACGCATGAGGTAGACTGTAACTATAACTCTAAGTACCGTATAACTGTGCACCAGGGGTCAAGTCCTGGGGAAAAAAGTGTGGGAACTCTCCCCAAAAAACCCCAAAACACTTGTATGTATATCTATGTATGTATGTATATATATATATATATATATATATATATATATATATATATATATATACACACACACACACATACACACGCGTGCACACACACATACACTCACACAGTGGTGTATTTTAATTTTATGCTGCCCTAGACATGACTATAGAGCACCCCCCTAATCTAAATTTACCACTCCTTCATGTCAAGGGCGCACCGCTTCTTGATTAAGAACCCACCCCTTCCTCTTTAGACTCCACCTTTTCCTGCTCCTTTTAAAGAAATACTATAGTGCCAGGAAAACAAAGTTGTTTTCCTGGCACTATAATTCCGTATAGTGCCCCCCTCCTCTCATGTCCTCCCCTCCCCCACTCGACACTGGAGGGGTTAAAATCCTATGGGTATTTAGCAGATGCTGGATGTCCTCATGCACAGGGTGAGGACGTCCAGCATCAGTTAGGTGACTTTTGGTCACCTAACCACCCGAAAGTCCCTCTAGTGGCTGTCTGATAGACAGCCACTAGACTTGGAGTTACCCCTCAGGTAATTATTGCAGTTTCTGAGAAGGTTTAAGGGGACTGGGACACTGCACCCAGACCACTTCAAGGAGCTGTCTCTGACAGACACCCACACTGGCAGATACACACTGACAGTAACACACACATTCAATGACAAACACACAGACTTCACTGATTTGACACACACATTCACTGACACACACTCATTCATTGACAGAGAGACACACACTAATAGTCACACACACACTAAATGACACTCTCACTTATTTGACAGAAACTTACAATAACGTATGCACATACATGCAATTGCAAACATACACATGCATACACTAACAGAAGCACATACACTCACATACACACGTACAAACGCTAACAGACATAAATACACTCCTACACACACTGAGACAAACAGACATCCACAGACAGACATCCACAGACAGACATCCACAGACAGACATCCACACGTCCACAAACAGACATCCACAAACAAACATCCACAAACAGACATCCACAAACAGACATCCACACATCCACAACAGACATCCACAACAGACATCCACACATCCACAAACAGACATCCACAAACAGACATCCACACATCCACAAACAGACATCCACACATCCACAAACAGACATCCACACATCTACAAACAGACATCCACACATCCACAAACAGACATCCACACATCCACAAACAGACATCCACAAACAGACATCCACACATCCACAAACAGACATCCACACATCCCACAAACGAACATCCACACATCCACAAACAGACATCCACACATCACAAACAGACATCCACACATCCACAAACAGACATCCACAAACAGACATCCACAAACAGACATCCACACATCCTGACCCACAAACAGACATCCACACATCCACATACAGACATCCACAGACAGACATCCACAGACAGACATCCACTGACAGACATCCACAGACAGACATCCACAAACAGACATCCACAAACAGACATCCACACATCGACATCCACAAACAGACATCCACACATCCACACATCCACAAACAGACATCCACAAACAGACATCCACACATCGACATCCACAAACAGACATCCACACACATCCACAAACAGACATCCACAAACAGACATCCACACATGCACAGACATCCACAAACAGACATCCACACATCCACAGACATCCACACATCCACAGACATCCACACATCCACATCCAGACATCCACACATCCACATCCACACATCCACAAACAGACATCCACACATCCACAAACAGACATCCACAAACAGACATCCACAAACCCACAGACATCCACAAACCCACAGACATCCACAGACATCCACAAACCCACAGACATCCACACATCCACAAACCCACAGACATCCACACATCCACAAACCCACAGACATCCACACATCCACAAACATCCACAGACATCCACAAACAGACATCCACAAACAGACATCCACAAACAGACATCCACAAACAGACATCCACAAACAGACATCCACAAACAGACATCCAGTTACACAGACATCCACATACAGACATTCACAAACAGACATCCAGACATACACAGACATCCACAAACAGACATACACAGACATCCACACATCCACAAATAGACATCCACACATCCACAAACAGACATCCACACATCCACAGACATCCACAGAGATCCACACATCCACAGACATCCACACATCCACAAACAGACATCCACACACATCCACACAAACAGACATCCACAAACAGACATCCACACATCCACAAACAGACATCCACACATCCACAAACAGACATCCACAGACAGACATCCACTAACAGACATCCACTAACAGACATCCACAAACAGACATCCACACATCCACAAACAGACATCCACACATACACAGACATCCACACATCCACAAATAGACATCCACAAACAGACATCCACACATCCACAAACAGACATCCACACATACACAGACATCCACAAACAGACATCCACAAACAGACATCCACATCCACACATCCACAAACAGACATACATATATACAAATTAATAATAATATAAAAAAATTAACATTTCCCACCCACCCAGCATCCCTACCTTTCCCTGGGGTCCAGTGGGGCTGCAGTGAGGACGGCTCTCTCCCTGTCACACGCGGAGAGGGAGCTGTGTGCTCTCTGCTCCCTCTCGCCACGCGGGATGTCTGCTGATGCCGGGAGCCGGAATATGACGTCATCAACCCGGCTCCCAGCATCAGCAGACATCCCGCGCGGCGAGAAGGAGCAGAGAGCACACAGCTCCCTCTCCGCGTGTGACAGGGAGAGAGCCGTGCGCCGGGGGGCAATCCATCAGGTTGCCCCCCATGACAGGGGAAACAAGGGGGGGCATTTGGGGGCGGCATTTTTTTCCGCCCCCTGAGTGCCTGCAGGGGGAACGGCGTTCCTTCTGTGAAAAAAGTGCAGGAACGCCGTTCCCACGCGTTCCTGCAGGACTTGAGCCCTGCTGTGCACACTCCTGCATGTCATAAAAAAAATAACTTGCTGCACTCTATTAGACAGTAAATAAGAGATTTTGCAATAGTTTAAACATGTATCATTTATTAATAATTTAATTTACCGTACTTTTCTTTTTTTATAACATTTGCTTTAATGGTTTGGACGTTGAAATATCTAGTTATCCAGCTTGTGCTACCTGTCACTGTAAGACATGTACAGAGCAATTCACAGGAATGTTTTTATTTTTATTTTAATTAAAGAAATGTGTTATCACTATCGTTGACAGCAGCTTTAGAGTTCCTTTCCTTTGACCTGTTTTGTTTTGTACTAATTGTGAGCTGTTTAGCATGACTGAATGTGACTTAGTTAGAATTGTCTGTCTCATTTTTAGAATAATACATCAAGATTTGCCCTCAGCATGCATTAATTAGAGGAACATGAGGACAAATGAGTTTCAGAACGCCAGAGTATAAAAAAATGCATATAAAGAATGACTTCTATGGTTACCAAACAAAACTCCCAAGTTCTGTGTTTGGAAGACTAGTAATTCATAATAACCTATACGTTAACCTTTGAGCAATACTATGAATAATAATATGAGCATCTGATACTCAAATGGATAAAAAACTCGCTTAGTACAGAAAATATGGTATGGTATTATTATGTGACCCAACAGAGATGGTTTGGGTTAAAAAAATTTTTAAACTGATCAGTGCTGAAGGGACTTGGCATCTTAAAAGCTTGTTATCATCTCATTTAATCACTAAAGGTATTTATTTTACATGTTTATTGCCTACTTATTAGAGTTAGACTAACTGCTTGGTCAGAATTGTGGCAACTGACATTTAATGTGGATAAGTGCAAGATAATGCATCTTGGACGTAAAAACCCAAGGGCAGAGTACAGAATATTTGATAGAGTTCTAACCTCAACATATGAGGAAAGGGATTTAGGGGTGATTATTTCTGATGACTTAAAGGTAGGCAGACAATGTAATAGAGCAGCAGGAAATGCTAGCAGAATGCTTAGTTGTATAGGGAGAGGTATTAGCAGTAGAAAGAGGGAAGTGCTCATGCCATTGTACGGAACACTGGTGAGACCTCACTTGGAGTATTGTACACAGTACTGGAGACCGTATCTTCAGAAGGATATTGATACCTTAGAGAGGGTTCAGAGAAGGGCTACTAAGCTGGTTCATGGATTGCGGGATAAAACTTACCAGGAAAGGTTAAAGGATCTTAACATGTATAGCTTGGAGGAAAGACGAGACAGGGGGGATATGATAGAAACATTTAAATATATAAAGGGAATAAACACAGTAAAGGAGGAGACTATATTTAAAAGAAGAAAACCTACCACAACAAGAGGACATAGTCTTAAATTAGAGGGACAAAGGTTTAAAAATAATATCAGGAAGTATTACTTTACTGAGAGGGTAGTGGATGCATGGAATAGACTTCCAGCTGAAGTGGTAGAGGTTAACACAGTAAAGGAGTTTAAGCATGCATGGGATAGGCATACGGCTATCCTAACTATAAGATAAGGCTAGGGACTAATGAAAGTATTTAGAAAATTGGGCAGACTAGATGGGCCGAATGGTTCTTATCTGCCGTCACATTCTATGTTTCTATGCTTAAAAGGCTCTAAAATGACAAGCAAACTTAATAAGGCTACATCATTTAGCCATTTTGCTCAACTGAGGAATTATTTAAACCTGATTATTATAAGATTGTTGTGAAATTCACAATAGAACTCAATTGTTTTCTTAAATACAATAGTCTATTGATCAAGCCCTAGGGCTTTTAAAGGACTGACCTTAGAAAACGTAGTCCTGATTCTTTATAAAGCAGGTCTTAGATAAAATAGGTAAGGTTGCTTAGATAAGGTATGTAAGGGAATTTGGATAAGGTAGATAAGATAGTTAAGATATGAGAGTTTAACCCCTTAAGGACCAAACTTCTGGAATAAAAGGGAATCATGACATGTCACACATGTCATGTGTCCTTAAGGGGTTAAATGAGCTACATATGGAAGCTAAATACATTGTGCCCGAACCCCCTTCATCCTCTCCCCTCCCCCTACTACATTTAAAGGAAAATGAAGCCTGGTTGTGTGTTTTGTAATTATTATATGTAACATAACTTCCCAGTGCATCCACTGATTTACAATTGCTCCATGAGGGCAACCATTTTTAGCCTCTTTGGCCAGTATCACAACTTATATGTTAAGAACATGTACAATTTGATGGCTGGGTGTTTATTTTTGAGATACCAAGCACTGTCATGCTTCCTGAACAAACTCTAATTTACCAGCATGGGTTTTGGTCAAAAAGTCTGTGCTTCCAACCAAAGATTACTTAAATATGACTGCACTCATAGGGAAACTAAAAGTCAGGTGACGCATTGCAAAGACATATTTGGATTTATGAAAGCATGGCAAATTATACAGACCACAGCTATAACACAAGTAGTATTTTATTTTAAATAATAAGAAAACATGATGTTCATTTTTCTTTAATTCCAAATACAAGTAAACAATTTTTTTTTGTTTTGTGTGAAGGTTTCAGCAAAACAAGGGGAAATGGAAGTGCAGTTTGTTGTGCTACAGAAGACAGTAACACTTTTAAGAAATCACGAGATGGAACTATCGGCAGATTGTGAAGTCCTCTTCAAGACAATGCCTGCTCGGTGGAACAACATGAAGACCAAAGTTTCACTAGCAAAGCAGCGCCTAGGTCCCAGGATACAGCAAGAAGCTGATAGGGTGACACAGGTACAATTTGGTTGATATTTCTCCATCACATGCTTTAAAAAGTGTAAACAAATGGTGGGAAGTATCAGTTTCTTCATTTTTAAAAATGTTTTTTATTTGCACTGTCAAGATTGCCTTGAGGCATTGGTATAACCTGAGCAGAGCCATTATTGATGGGCATCCATATATGAAGTGACACAACAATCACAATAAATGCAACTAATAATTAAAGGGACAATATACTATATTTAGGGCGAGAGGGCAGGGGGACTAAATAGTGCTTTTAACATTATAAGATCAGGAATACATATTTGTGTTCCTGACCCTGTAGTGTTCCTTTAAATTAACAGGCAAATGCTTCTGTTTGTATGGTTGCTGCGTCTATTTGAATGGCCACTGTAAAGTTGCTCCTAGCTATAGACATACCAAGTAGTAGTTATAGTGGATGTATTTGACTAACAATCCTGACTGACTATCAAGCAAAGTCAGGTGAAAATGAAGGCAAAAATAAAGGCATTTTATGCTTAAATATTTAGCACATGGTGCACCCAAGGTAGAATTTGTTTTATCTTATATTATCAATTGTTATTCTTCTAATCCAATGGAATAATTTCTTCAAAATATGCATTGTGTTATTAGAAACAGGAATATATTTGGGTTTATTCTTTTTTCTTTATGAGACATGAATGTTTACAGACTGAATTATTTCATTTGTGTATACATTTTCTTGCAGGATCTAAAACGGTTTCAGCACAAACTTGATGCTCTCGGTCAGGATATTGAAACCTCTGAAGTATACATGTACAAATGTACATCACACGAAGCCTTTAGGGCCATAGAACATTTCAACACAGATGTACAAATTCTACAAAATGAGGCAAAAGACTTGAAGGAACTTCAGGAGCTACTGGAAACCACTGTGGTTGACTTCTCCATTTTGGCTAAGTAAGGTTTAAAAACCTCATTAATGTCTCTAAATTTAGTCAATAGATGTATGTTTTATTTGCTTTTTGACTGGTGTATGCAATTATAATACTACATTGAGCAATTTTGGAAACATTTTAATCAGAGGCTCACATTGTTTAAAAAAATATTGTAAAAATTAATAAAAAATTGCAAGCTCTTAAAGTCTCATAATAATATATTTATATAGGCATCATGCAAATAAATGTAGTAAGTAATGTCATGATCTGTTAGTTCATGCAAAGTTGATGTTGGTTCACACATTAGTTATTTTACCTGAAAATAACATTTTAGATCACTACATCTATAAACCAAAGTATTACCTTATTAATAAATCCATAATAGCTGCTGTTCTGCAGTATTTTTGTTGCACACCAGACATATGCTAATGTTGCCTTTTGCAGCTGTGAAGAATTACTACAGAAACTCAGCCTTGTATGGCAGCATGTGAATTCAATCCTTAAAGAGCAAGACACCTGGAAGAAAGAGGTATGGCAGAACATGAACACAGAACAACTCTATCGGAGGACCAACCACCACCTGGAACTTCTGAAGGCCCTTCCAGAAGAGGTCCAGGAATGGGATGTCTATAAACACACACTGGAAGCTGTTAATATAATGCATGTACGTATCATGAACACATCAGTACAATAGTTTATTTCACTTTCTTTGCACATGTTTCTGTGTAATATCATAATGAAATGCAATAAAAACAAAGAAGGTGGAGCAGCGCTGAACAACTAAGCAAAAAGATATGGGAGGCAACACTCCTTAAAGTGAGGTATTCCCTCTAAACCCCCAAGATAACTGAGAAAAACAATACAAAGATACAGGTTGCTCCAATAAAAATTGGTAAACCTCGAAGAGCTAAATACCAGTAAGTAAAATATAGTCCAAAAAAGTGACATTCCATCTTCAGACTTTCTTGTGATGTTCGCTGGACAGTTTCTCTTAGTAGCAGCATATGAAAGAGCAAAAAACCAGAAGGAATCAATATGACAATAAAGTGTTTGACATACAACACTAAAATGTAAAAATGCCAACTCACATATAATAGAGCTATAACCAGCTCTGAATAAAACAGCAGACAGTAGTTTTATTATCCCCACTTACAGGATATTCACCTTAGAGAGGAACGTATAAAAGGAGCAAACTAGATAAAATGTTTTCATATTTTCTATTCTAGATGATCATTGACACTATTAAATTCCCTCCCTTGGTGTAGGAGTTACTTTATAAGATTAAACATGTCTATCCTATATTCTGTGAGGAGACAAGTTACCTCTCTGTAATGTTGCGATATATATCTGCTAAATAATAGTACAGTGCAATTAAAATATAAATTGAGTTATGTTAATGTTATAATTATTACACTCAGTAGGGAAATAACACTGTCTATAAAACTCATAATCATTGCAGGAGCGTTGAGTCAAAGATAAATCAAATACGTAAAATTAGATAAAAAAGAACACTTTGATACATTTAAGGGTTAAAGACCTAACAAACAAGATGATCTGAGAATTAAATCTGTATTTTGAATTTCACTAATATTTGTTTAAACAATTATGATAGGCCCACGTAACCCATTGTATTCCAACATGCAAAGAACAAAATAAAATTATGACTTCTCTAAATACCTGGTAACTAATACAATAAACATTGTATTTTATACCTCATTTTAAAGTAGAATTTTTACACCCTAATGTAAAATGCTGTGTATTTGAATATATATTTTTTTAAAATGCATTGTATAACCTACTGTGAATATATTTAAACACAAAAATGGCACATGCTTTTTTTCCCTTCAGTTGACCTTACCATTGATAGAAGAAATCAGCCACCCAGCAATGAGAACAAGACATTGGAACCAGTTGGTTCGACAGACAGGGGGTTTGCTCCTTGTTACTCAGCAAAGTTTTAAGGCTCTGACACTCGGAGATCTCCTAGCAATGGGCTTAGAAAGTAAGTTTTCAGATAGATATATCATTGATATACAGAGTTTTGAGTGAGTTTTTTTTCTTTCATCCATAATAAGAGATGAATAATGACATGCTGAGTTTGTCAAAGGTTTGGCCTAATTTATCATGATGCTAACAAAACTCCCCACTTAAATGTATTACTCTCTCTGTATACAAAATTATACAGATTTATTCACTAAACAGAGCATGGTGGCTACATGTTTCAAATTCATCAATTTTTTACAGTTAGCAGGTTTGGTTTTCAATTCTTTTAATGAGCAAACCCCATTGTTGTTTTTTAATATTCAGAAATGATGTTCCGCCATTTAGCAGTAAGTTATAGTGAGCTGACAAATGAATTGTAAAATTTGGAACTATAGCTGCACTCCTGACCATGATCTTGCAAACTGATGTTTAATTCTCAAGAACTCGCTGTTTAATTAATATGTCTAAATTTGTTTGCAACATGAAATCCTAAAGCTCAAATATTGATTTAAAGCAAATAAGATCCTTAAAGGACACTCCAAACACTTAAAGCACTTTAGCTTGTTAAAAATGCTTTATGTGTGAACAGTGTGTCCTCTTTTATTCATTTTACAAAGTGTAGATCTCAATGGAAATTTGCACATTTATAAATTAACCTTGTTATACCTTCGGCTGTTAGAAAATCAGTAGTGTTACTTCCTGGTGGTTTATCTCAGTGTAACTAAGCTCAAAGTTTTTATGCCCTCAATAAGAAAAATGCAGAAATTAATGCATGTATGTTTTTATTGGGGGTATATCTATTAAATTGTTAAAAAAAAAAGGGTATGTATTATGAAAATAAATCAATTAATCCCCAAAAAGTGTATACTTGGGCTAACGTTTGCCCACAAAATTCAAAATTCAATTTAGTATGAAGAAAAATAAAATGGTTTATTTTGTCTTTGCTATCACATCACACGGAAAAACAAATTTGACTGCCATTGCTTGTTTCTATTCATCTACTTTTCTAACACGGGACTCTTCATGGCAGCCCTTAATCCTGTTTAATGTGGAACATCTTATCTGAATCTGGTAAGAATGTATCAAGGCCTCTGAACACTGTTAAAGGTTTCAGTAACACCCTCCAATTCACTGCATAGCACAGATGACTAGAGTAACTGTAATTACTGTATGCAGGCATTAATCTGTTTAAACACATTTTTTTTATTAATTCCCATTCCAAAATATAACCAGGTTCATTAGACAGAGTTAAATCACATATTAAAAGGAAAGGATAAATAAGGTAAACCCTATGACAATAGCAACCCTTCTAAAAGAGAAGGGAAGGAGTGTCACAAGGAGAACCTATAAAGGAAGTCACTAAACTTTCAGTTCTGAATTTAGGTACTCATATTGAAACACAAGACTAAAACTAGCAACAGGCTATAAGGTCCAGATGCAGGTATGACTGAGGAAAATATACTACAGAGTAGTTTGAAATAACTTTATTAAATACTAAATCAAAAGATGAATACAAAGAGGACATAAGAGTATTTCTGCATAAAAGATATATGTAAAACTTTGTATAAAATAATTAGTGGGCTGCTAGGAATTCTTGACCTAGGAGAGATAAGGACCATACTCTATGTGATTGTTAGAGATGGGTGCTCAATCCTCTGTGATGGAGAAAAGCAAATAAATAAATAAATATATATATATATATATATAACAAAATTATAAACGCAACACTTTTGTTTTTGCCCCAATTTTTCATGAGCTGAACTCCAAGATCTAAGACTTTTCTATATACACAAAAGGTCTATTTCTATCAAATATTGTTCACAAATCTGTCTAAATCTTTGTTAGTGAGCACTTCTCCTCTGCCGAGATAATCTATCCACCTCACAGATGTGGCATATCAAGATGCTGATTAGACAGCATGATTATTGCAAAGGTGTTCCTTAGGCTGGCCACAATAAAAGGCCACTCTAAAATGTGCAGTTTTATCACACAGCACAATGCCACAGATTTCGCAAGTTTTGAGGGAGCGTGCAATTGGCATGCTGACTGCAGGAATGTCCACCAGAGCTGTTGCCCGTGAATTGAATGTTCATTTCTCTACCATAAGCCGTCTCCAAAGGCATTTCAGAGAATTTTTCAGTACATCCATCCGGTCTCACAACTGCAGACCACATGTAACCACACAAGCCCAAGACCTCCATATCCAGCATCCTCACCTCCAAGATCGTCTATGACCAGCCACCCAAACAATTGCTGCAAAAATCAGTTTGCATAACCAAAGAATTTCTGCAAAAACTGTCAAAAGCCGTGTCGGGGAAGCTCATCTGCATGTTTGTCGTTCTCATCGGGGTCTCGACCTGACTGCAGTTTGTCGTCGTAACTGACTTGAGTGGGCAAATGCTCACACTACGATGGCGTCTACAACCTGATCAACTCTATGCAAAGGAGATGTATTGCACTGCGTGAGGCACTAGATACTAACTGGTTTTCGGACCCCCCTGGAATCACTCCAGACCACCCAATACAATAAAACTGCACATTTTAGAGTGGCCTCCAATCCTCTCTCACATTGTTATTGGTCTGGCGAGTTGCCGGCATTGCTGATTGTCACTTCAGGGTCCGGTCGGCGCGAGGCACTTTACGGAGTTTCTGCTGTCTTAGGGTTCCAGTTTCCCCCTGTGCTGAGCGTCCTCTCTGCCTGAGTGCCTGTCTGTCCATCTGGTCCCTCGTCCACAGGTTTTCGTGTTCCGTCAGCCTAGTCCGTAAGTCCATACGGATGGGCACTCCGTCTGTGCCATTCCACAAACTAGGCTCCATGTGTCTTGTCCGGGGCTCGATGTGGTAGGTCAAGACCCCCCACAGACAACATGCTGGGTTCTCCACGTGTGCGTTTAATTTCCTTGCTAAATTTCCGCGTGTTGGGTTTTATGTATCCGAACGAGCTGTTTGGGAATTTAACGCTAACCATATGTGCAGGCAACCTTTCCTTTTGTACAAATCTCCAATTTCGTGCCGCGTTTGGCACTTTCAGGTTTCATTAGCATTCCTATTAAGTCTGGGGGTCTGGGCTTTCGGTTATATTCACCTATTTTCCGCTGCTTCCAACCCCCTTTTCGTATAAATTCATATCATTAAGAACATTATCGCCACCTTGTGGCCACATTATAGTATTAATCTGTGTTAAAATTACTATTCTTTAAGGTTACAGACAATATTTAATTTTGCTTTTGTAATTTTGTAGATAAGCAGGGAAAGTTTGTTTTAGGATTTTACTTAAACCTGATATTTTGTTAACATCTATAAGTACTGTTTTGTTCTACCGCTGGTTCGGTTCAGAACTGTTAGACAGGGGAATTGTACCTGTTTTACAAACTTCTAGATGGATAAATTTGGTTTTACATTGTTTTGAGCTGTAGCCTCATCGCTCCTAGTTATTTCCGGTAATATCTAATATTCTTTAGGCGACATATCAGGCAACCTATTGCAAGTCACAAGGTGTTTGTCAATTCGTGGCAAGCATTTGCCAAATTTGCACCTGGTGTCTAGCAATTGGGGCAGGTTACTATTTATTATTGGGGTCCACGATCTGACCCACATGTTTTACCACATCCTCAGAAACTATTTTAGGTTGCTATACGTTATTACCCCAGCCCTCCTTACTCTATTGCTACAAGCAATTTATCATTTTAGATTATTACTGACAACTTTTACATTTACTGAGTTCATAATCCTTAATAACAGAGAGTACTGGCTTTCAGGGATCCAGGTGTCCAACTAGTTTTGTTTTCCGGCCTCAAAGCCACAGGCTAGTAGTGCACTCATACTCGCACTCAGAGGTATAGGTCCATCAGTCTAAGGCATAGATATTCGCCTCGCATGGTGGCATAGAGAGGGCATCACCTGTCACTCCCATACTATTTTCTGCTTTATTTGTCACCGAGAGGCCGACACCTTGCCACAACGTTCGGTCGCCACAAATCCTTTCGGGCCAACGCATAGTTGGCGCCTCTCAAATCACTTAGCAACTAGCAGGGCCTCACCTGTCACCCATCCTGGTGGAATTTTTCGCTGCTTGGCAATAGCTAGTCTGCCAGTACCAGTTTGGTCTTACATATATGTTAATTTATATTTCGGTAGGTCCAAGGTTTCCGAATATAGGGATGGGTATTGCTCTGTTAAGCCCTAGAATTGTGAGGAACTGGAGGTGTATATGCACAGACCGGGGATCTGGGGCACAAGTACGGTAGTACGACTTTCTACGATTACCATCATTCATTTTCAGCAGAAGTGGCTGCAGCTCTGACTCAATTTAACTTCAGTATGGATTGGAATAGTCTAAATACTGAGTTTATCGGCAGACACTTTGCAGACCTCAGGATTCCGGCTTGTGCAGTTTTTACACGTTCACGTCACGCTCGACGTATTTGTGCCCTAACAAGGCACAAGTCCCTCGGGGCCACTCGGTTCCTTACACACCGTCAAATCTGATAGGGTTGTTAAGGTTAAGCTGGGTGGAGACAATGTTTTGGGAAAGTCCCAAACATGCAATAATTTTAAGGCAGGTACGTGCGGTTTCGGTGCTTACAGGTTATTGCACGTTTGTTCCTACTGCTTCTAGACTCATGCCTAGTCTGGGTGCCAAAATAAAATGCTCCCTAACAAACCTACGTTAAGGGTATTGATGTTATGGGTTTTGCTGAACCATTCGTGGTTCCAACCCTCACATCGATTGGTTAACTTTCTCTTTGATTGGTTATTGCAAGGGTTTTACGATAGTTTTATACACTTGCCATCTGATATGCTGGTATGCAATGAATTGCAGGCAGCGCGAGCAGATCCAGAATTGGCGGATACATTGATAAGACTGAGTTGAAACAGAGAATTGTTTTGGGCCTTTTAGGTCCCTTCCTTTTTACTTGGATGACACTCCATTGGTATAGTCACTGGTAAATCTTCACATAAACACAGTTTGATCATTGACCTATCAGCACCACATTCCTCCACGGTTCCTAGTCTCAACTCCCTTTGCTTAATAAATCTGATTTGTCATCAAACTATTCCAATTCACCCCTCACTTTGGCATCTGCAAGGCATTAAGTGGCAGGGTTTATACTGATTTCTCCTGGCGTATGGTCAGTGCCAAGGTAGCGCCAAGATATTCGATATTTTGCGGGAAACGGGTGCTGGTTGCTACTTGATGGGTGCAGATGCCTGACTTTTACACACTTTTTGGACGATTTCCACAATCTAAAGACAACTCACTACCCCGTCGCAGTCTCACAGCAGCATCGAATCCCTGGATTTTTTAGAACGACGGAGGGATTTTGGTACTTAAGACCAATATATGTGATCTTAAAGTAATTTATATTTATATCTTTTGTACATAATTGGGATCAACACAGTTAAAGAACATACTGTCAGTATTAAAAAAAAACAAAAAACAGCTTGTTTAAAACCGAAAAAAAAAACAGCTGTGCCGATAACTGGGGTCATCTGATACAGGCAGACACTATAAATCTTTGAACATTGTATCCACTGCATCCTAGTTAACAATTTATTGTGGCAATATTCCAATAACATTGGGACTAATATATTGAAACATATTTGTTATACACATACTGCCATTTTTTTACTATTTCTTAAAGACGTATTCCACACACCATAACTACTCCTGGTAATTTATTATAGTTTTTTTTTACTGACTGTTGCCTTCTTTTGGATCAACAGCAAAAACATATGTGAGGAAGGCTGAACTTGATGGACGCAAGTCTCTTTTCAGCTATGTAACTATGTAACATACATGTCATTAATATATAACATATATGTAATGAGCATGTATTGGCCCAGTCTTGTTACTAGTTGCATACTCCAGCACAATAACATATTCAAAGTGAAAAGCGCACCCATAGGACTTAAAAATAAACAAGATAACTTTTAGTCCCATTACTAAAATGTCCTTAATATGTCAACGTAGTTGGACTGAAACATTGATTACATGCAAATGTACGTCTGCTTAAAATAAAGGCACTCTTTTGTTTATTTTGAAGACCTATATGCTTTCTTTCATAGTTTTACATTTTAAGCTATTTTTTCCACCTTTATATCAGCACACCATGCTGGCGTGACGCATTATATAGATATATAGAATTTTTTCCAGGGCAGCTTTTTTTTCCCAGCCCGGCCCTGGGCAGCAGCATGCACTATGGGAAGAAGCCAGTGCTGGGAAACTTTGGGTCATTCATATAGATATTACTTTGGCGTATACCACCTACCTAGAGATTGTTGCATACCATGTACAACCCTTCATGGCAATGGTGCTCCCTGATGCCCTGGTAGCACTGAAAAATAGTTCAGAAATGGTTCAGAGTGTTGCCTTGGTCTCCAAATTCCCCTTATTTCAATCCAGTAATGTTTCTCTGGATGTGCTGAAACACCAAATCCGATCCATGGAGGCCCCACCTTGCAACTTGCAGGACTTATGGGATCTACTGCTAATGCCTTATTGCCAGATACCACAGAACACATTCAGAGAAATTGTGGAGTATATACATTGATTCATCAGAGCTTTTTAGGCAGCACAAGTGATCCTACACAATATTAGGCAGGTGGTTTTATTGTTGTGGCTGGTCAGTGTATATACTTATGCATGTTATACTTTAAACACAAACACATATACACATAATATGTTAGAGTTTAAATAGTGCACTTTAAAAGTTCATGCAGAAAGATCTGAGGGATAAGTAGGGACTGCAGCTTTGATTTAATATTTTGTCATAAACTATTCAAATGATTCCAGTCTGTTAGAAATTCTTTACAAATGATTTATATACAAAAAATCACATATAGACTTTAATGGTGACTTCTGATATCTAATTTGAAAAGTGTTTCTGATAGATGAGAATCATTTGAAAAGCATATCCAAAAATATTAAATAGAGGACTATGTGTAAAAAGGCTGCCAATACACTTTGATTATTAGAAATTGACTTATTCTATGATATTTGTCCATCAATGCAATGTTTACTGTACATGAATTTGTGGTGAGACTTGACCATGTTTATTTACCTTAATAAAACAACAGAACACAGTGGTGACGTGAAGGCGGCTGTACAACGCGCAGTACGAGACGTGACCATAGAAAGTTCCTTGAAGAATTGTGAAGAAGTCTGGCTGAGTCGGACATTTGACCTTCGACCTCACAGCAGAGTTATATTATCTAAAGCACTCAATGAGGTATATTGCTGTATATCTGGAAATCATAGAAGATTGTGTTTCACTTTCTTATACAGGGAGTGCAGAATTATTAGGCAAGTTGTATTTTTGAGGATTAATTTTATTATTGAACAACAACCATGTTCTCAATGAACCCAAAAAACTCATTAATATCAAAGCTGAATATTTTTGGAAGTAGTTTTTAGTTTGTTTTTAGTTTTAGCTATGTTAGGGGGATATCTGTGTGTGCAGGTGACTATTACTGTGCATAATTATTAGGCAACTTAACAAAAAACAAATATATACCCATTTCAATTATTTATTATTACCAGTGAAACCAATATAACATCTCAACATTCACAAATATACATTTCTGACATTCAAAAACAAAACAAAAACAAATCAGTGACCAATATAGCCACCTTTCTTTGCAAGGACACTCAAAAGCCTGCCATCCATGGATTCTGTCAGTGTTTTGATCTGTTCACCATCAACATTGCGTGCAGCAGCAACCACAGCCTCCCAGACACTGTTCAGAGGGGTGTACTGTTTTCCCTCCTTGTAAATCTCACATTTGATGATGGACCACAGGTTCTCAATGGGGTTCAGATCAGGTGAACAAGGAGGCCATGTC